TCTAACTTTACTTAATAAAGCTATATTTTAAATTATTTATAATGTACTTTTTTATTACCTCTAGTTCCTTAACATTTTGTTTATACAAAGAGCTGTAACTATTAGAAAGAGGTTCTATAAAGACAATCTTATAGTTATATAGGCAATGTGCTAGTAATTAGTAAGCTGCAGTGTAGCTAAATACATCTTAGTACTAACAGTATTTAGCTAGTAATTAGAAGTTTACTAATGCTTTAGTTTTATATTTATTATTTAGTAGTAAAGCTTACTTATCTTTAATTAAATGCTTAATTTTATAAATAAAAGTTAAAAAGAATTTATTCTTTTTTTATGTTAAAATAAAAAGCATTTACTAAGATAAAAGTAATAGTAGAGAATTAAATGTCCTTTAGACCTATTCTAGACTTCTTAATAAATAGGTAGATTAATAATTTAAGTGTCTTTAGACTATAAGTAATAAAAGAGTAGTATAATTTTAGTAGCTTTAGTAAACTCTTAATGCAGTTAATTATTAGGCTATATAACTGCTAAATGTAGTCTTTTTTCTATAGTGTGTTGTGTTGTTTAATATCTAACTCTACTTCTTTATTACGCGCAGGCTAGTTTAATTGCATAAGCAAAAGTAGTAAAAGTTTATAAGTAGTAGAATACTTACTAGGCTATATAATTTAATTTTTTTTTATATCTAGTTAGAGTTTAAAATAATGTAACTATTTAATGCTAATAATATAATTTTATAAGCTAAAGTTTATAATTATAAAAAAGTAGTTTTAGATGCTTTTACTATTAATTTACATGTGTAAGCAGATATACTAGTAGACAGGAACTTAGATTTAGTCTTAAAAGCCCTTAACTATAACTTTAAAAAGTAAATGTTAGATAAGAATGTAAAGGCATTAGAATAAAAACTTAGTAGTTATTAAGTTAATAAATAAAAAACTATGTGCACTAGTATTAACTAAAAGATTTAATTAAACTCTAATACTTTTTAAGTATAAAATAGTAAAAACTTAGAAAAGTTTTTCTTTAAATAAGTATAATAAGTTAATATTTACTAAGTTATACTTATTTAAGCCTAAAATAAAAGGTTTTTTTAAGTGTTTTTATTTTTTATTTAAAAAAGTCTAAGTTATAATTATTTATATTTATAAACTTTTTTTTAAATTTTTATTACTTTACTTTAATTTCCTATACTCTAGAGATAAAATAATTGCTAGTAAAATGCTCTAGTTTACTATAATTATAATAGTTACTAGAAGTTGTCTGTCTTTTAGAGGCAGGTGTCTAGCTAGGTTAACAGTAGGTAGCTAGGGTAGATTAGAGTACTAACATAAGTGCAGGTTAGAGTGCACTAGAATAGTATACTGCCTTAGATATATTACTAGAAACCTTTTAAAATTAATTTATAATAAGTCTAACATTAATTTATTAGGTATAGTTAATAGTTTACTTTAAAATAGCAAAAGTATTCCTTCTTTTTATATTATAAGCTATTAGGTAGGCTACTATTATCTTAAAAAAGCTTTTTTAAGTATGTTTAAAACTTAAGTTTAGTACTTTTAAGCTAAGCAGTATCTTTTTTTATAAGTAAAAAAACTATTTTAACTTTAATATAAATTCTTTAATAGTAGCACTAATAAAGTAAGCTTTAAAAGTAAGAAATGCTTTTTTTTTTACTTATTCTTAGAGTTTAAAACACTTATTACACCTCTATTTTTTATTACTAGTAATAAAGTAAGTTTATAAAAGCTTAATTATTTCTTTTATATTTCTAAACTAAAAGTTGTCTAATTTAGCTAGGTATCTAGGCTCTAGGTATTCCTTTGTAATACTAGTAGTGTGTCCCTATACTAACACTATGCGTGTGCGCTTACTCTAATAGTAATCTAAATTAATGTTAAGTTTATCTATAATAAAAGCTTACTATTATTTAAACATAAGTTTTTTACTATCTGTAAGGTTCTTAATTTTAAGTATATATTTAGTAAGGTAGCTTTAAAGAAGCTTAAAGGTGCCTAAAAAGTCTTTTACTATTAATATAGTAAAAGTAATTTAAAGTATTATTAGAGGTAATTTAGTAGTTAGTAAAAGATAATTAAAACTAATAGTTTTTAATCTAGTTAGCTACTTAATTTATGCTTTTAATTAAGTAACTTAGTTTTTAAGAGCTATACTGCTAGAGTTTAACTTTAAATTTAGTATGTTTTTAGCTTTACATCTTATAAAAAAAGTTTAGCTATTAAAGTTAGTAGTTATTTAGCTTTAGTAGTAAGCATCTTGCCTTAGCTATAGCTAGAGCGTGTTGCAAGCTTTATACTAAGGTCTAAGAGTAGTTAAAAGTTAAGCATTAGTAGTTATCTTTAATTTAAATAAGTTATTAGTAGTTTTTAGGTTTCTACTTTAGTGCACTTTTTATAACTTTTTTAAAAGTAATTTTAATTATAAAGAATAAAAAGTTCTAAACTTAAAGGCTTTAGTTAATAAAAAGTTTTTAAAATTCTATTTATAATAACTAAATAATTTAATATAATAGTGTGTAAAAACTATAACCTAAACTAAATTAAACACTTTTTAAAGTTAGACATAATTAAATAAATAATTAGTGTAATATTATAATAAAGCTATTACTAGTAAAAGTAAGTTTTTTAATATAATGTAACAGCGTAGGCAAGACAATAGGTCTAAATGCAGAGGGAATCTACTTAGAGGCATATAGAAGTGCGTGGGGACTCTAAACCTAGGAATGCTATTAACACCTATAGGCCTTATATAAAAGAATATTAGAAAACTACTAAGCTAGCTATAGAGCAAGGTGCGACTAAATACATAAGGGAATAGGGGTAACTGCAGGGGACTAGGTTAAGTCATGGTTGGGGCCGATACAGGGACCCTTTGGATAGGATCTAAGCGACCCGAGATGGAACAATTCGTAGAATTGTTACACCTAGTATGTAGGTTAAGCACTGCTCTAAGTTCACAATAAAGTTTAATTGCAAGTATAATTACAAGAGAGCGCTATGTAAGAATCTAGAGGTTATCTATAGCTAGTTTTGCCTAGTAGCTAACATAAAAGCTAAGTACAGTATCTAGAATAAAAACACATATAACTTTAATAAGTTAAGCTTTATAATAGGCTAGATATTAACTAGAGCAGTTATTACAGCTTTAAAGAGATAAAGACAGCTAAAGGTAATATAGTAAGGTAATAGAGAGTAGACAACAGTTATCTAGGGCATTAATGTAATAAGGTAGGCTATTTTACTCTTTATTATTTTTAAGAGCTGCTATTACCTCTCTGCCTAGTACAAGAAGAAAAATTTGCCTTAAAACTAGGTTATTACAGTCTCTAAGAATAGCTAGACAACAAATAAGCTTAGGCTGCAGTAGTTAAAGCACTTTAATAAGCATATAAAAAAAAAGTTATAAGCACTTATTAGCTTTTTATTATTAACAGCTATAAGAGCTATAACTTACTTAATTTCTAACAGTACTGTAAAAAGAACAAGATTATTACTATTTACATGCCTTTACACTTATTACACCTTTTATAGCTTTTTAATATAGGTTGTTTTACCTTTTTAAAAAAGTGTATAGGCGCTAAGCTAAAGATCTTATATGTAACTAGATTACTTATATTATAAAACTTAAGTTCCTACTATGCTTTTTACACGCCTATAATGTAGTAATTACTTTTAGTAATATTTAAAAAGGGTTTTAAGCCGCTAGTTTAGTCTTATTTAACTTAAAATAGGTTAAAATAGCCCTTAATATCTAGTTGCGTACTTTATTACTACTACTACCTATTAATAATAAGCCCTAGTAGTTGTAAACCCTAAGTAATACTTTTAAATTTAGGTTATAATTAATGCTTATAAAAGTAAGAATTTAGAGGCATGTAGATAGCTTACTAATATCTATAGTAAAGGCCTTTAAAAAGGTCTTAAAGGGGGCAGCAATTATTACGCATAAGCTAGTGTTAGCGTAAAAGAAGATTATAGAGCTTTAAGTAGCAAATAAAGCTGCTACGCAATATAAATTACATAAAAAGAAGCAAATTTAAGCAAAAAAAACTTTAATAGTTAAAAATAAAGCTTATCTAACTACTCTAAGGAAGTTTAAAGCGTGTAGTAATAAGAAAAAGCTAAAGACGCAGGTGCGTGCTAAAAAAAGTAAGCTAAGTTAAAGGTAATATAGGCAGTGTAATTAGACTAGGCATAACTTGCGTACGTGTAAGAAAGTAGTAGAAGTAGACTCTAAATAATATCTTGTATTGTATTACTCTATACAGGGCTAAAGTAGGCTGTTTTGCGCTAGAATAGGGTGGTTTTAGTGGGGGCTTGGCAAAAGTGGCTGGCCAACCCGTGTGGCCGGCCAACCTGTTAGGTACGTTATACTTAATAGCTTTAAAAAAGTTTAAAGCGCACAGTAATAAAAAAAAAGTAAAAAAGTAAGTGTAAGCTAAAGTAAGTAAGCTATTCTAAAGGCGCTATAAATAGTGTAATTAGACTAGGCATAACACATAAATATATAAGTAAGAAGTAGAAGTAGTATCTAAATAATATTCTAAGCTGTACTGTACTATATAGTGCTAGAGCAGGTTGTTATAGGCTATAATAGAGTTTGTTAGGGTAGAGTCTTAGCAAAAGTAAGTAACTTAGGTGTGTAAGCAACTCGCCTGTAAAGTATGTTATTATAAAATATATTTATTTACTTTAAAAATCTAGAAGAATTATAAAAGTAGTAAAAAGAGTTCTAAACTAATTGGACATTAATTTAGCTCTTTTTTAAACTAATAAGAGAAATGGCTTGGCAAGATGTACAGTGATTAAGAGAGATGGTCCCTCATCTCGCTGGGGCGGAACGTCGAGCATCTCAGATGTGGCTGAGGCGGTAGAGTATGACTAACCGCCAAGAGTGGCTGTTTGCGACAAGGGTGCCAACGTGCCACATGTCTGCTGTTGGCCCGATGTGAATGCGTTCCACAGACTCTGACTGATTAGATAAAGACAGCGCACCACCTCACTCAGCACTCATATATACCAGGATGGACCCTTCAGGCGTACATGTTGAAAAGCATATCGAAACGCCAGACTTTCAATACATTTCGCCAGACAACGTCGCATCCTCGATTCAAGAAGTCGTATTTAGGCGCGGGGGCGTTACGATCGCGCGAATTAGTCCAACCCTTCTTGTCAAATATGGTGACGATGTCCACATCATTGAAGCCAAAACTCTACGCTACATCGCTCAAAATACTTCGATTCCTGTCCCTCGAGTCTTTGCTGCCTACACACATGGGCCATTTGACCGAGACGAGGAATGGTCCTCGAAGTATGACACTTACATCTTCATGGACTACCTGGACGGCCAGCCGCTGGATCAAGCATGGAGTCAACTCAAAGAAAAGGAGAAATCTACTATTCTAGCCGAACTAGGCGACTTTATTGCTCAACTTCGAGCAATTCCGACCAGCGGCTATATCGGGTCCATTGACCACGGCCCCTTGAGGGATTCCATTCTAGAGTACTTCCCCGTCAAAGGTAGTAGTTACGAGATATATATATATTTGTGGACTGGGCTTAACATGAATTCAGGACCGTTCGCCTCGGAGCAAGAGTTCAATACCACCTTAATAGATGCGTTCTGCAAAAGCTTTCGAGGCGAGGTCAGGCCATACTTGACGGGCATGCTCAATGCTCACAGCCACAAAATCGTCTTCACACATTCTGATCTACGCCCCGCAAACGTTATCGTCAAGGGTGGTCACGTCCTTGGAATCATCGACTGGGAAATGGCCGGTTGGTACCCGGAGCATTGGGAGTTCGTGAAGGCTTTCTATGTATGGCGTTGGCAGAATGACTGGGGCACTCGTCTCCTCGAGATTATGCAGCCGTACTACTGCGAGCAGGCTGTTCATTCCTGGCTCACGCAAGTCCTGTTATAGTATCTCTATAACCCCTTCGTATTCGATAACCCAACACAGAACCAATATAGTGCTGGTGGATAACAAATGATGGTTCCATACGTCACTTTCAATTCCTCCGACCCGACGAAAGCACTACCATCTATATTTCCAGCTTTCTCTGCTTAGAGACTCTCTCCTCACGAACCAAAGCATTGTAAGGCGATAAACTTGGAACCTACCAGGTGAGACTACACGTGGCTAGGTATTCTCTGTAGCACTCAAGCTACCATCGGAGGAGATAGGTTGATTCTCGAAGCACCAGAGCCGCGAACCCGTTTAAAGGGAAGGGCCGAGAGGTGTAAAAAAAAGTGTAAGGAGCGATAGGAAACTCCGCTCCACTTGGGAGCGTCATTGTCCTTTAGTCGAATGGCTGAGAACACGCAGCCGGGAACGCATTGGAATAGCGTAACTTACCTCACTTCTCTTCCTATTGTGATTATGGCCTTGCCTGGCGGGCCTAATATAGCTTGACACCAGGCATTCGCCGTTCACAGGGTGTGCAGGGTAGCCCCTTTGTTATGCTAATACGTTGATGTTGGAGACGAAGGCTCGTAGGGGGTTAAGTACAGCGATCGTCCTTCGAGGGAGGTGCGCCAAAAAGAGTAGGCGAGTGAGGCACGAAAAGAGGAGAGGGCTGTTAAAGGACTGCTCAAATTGTTCCGTTGTCAAACAATTCACACGTATAAGAAGCGGAGTAGTACGGAACGCACCTAGATCAAGATGTCTATGCCTGCGTGTATGTGGGAAAATAATAATATTTTTGAGAATTGCCAATAACGACGATAGTGTTGTGTCATAGTCTTGGTTCCTTAGATCGTTTATCAGTATGTAGGTGTTACGGCCAACGGTCAGACCGTAATGACCCAACTGGCTGTCCCGCACAGCCCGAACGATGTCGGATGGAAGACGCTTAGCCCCGCACTGAACGAGTCACGTGACAGGACGGATGAGGAATGGCTCCGGCTTTTAGACAAAAGCCTCGCGGAGTGCACCGTCCAATAGGGACCGAAGCACTGCAGGCAGTGCAGGCACTGCAGGTGGATGCAGGCAATGCATGCAGCACCTGCAATGCATGCAAGTGCATGCAAAACCCAAGTATATAGTTTTGATCACAACCACAGTTAGAAGGGTGTGATTACTGTTTAGTTTATTATTTAGCCCTTACCTATTTAATAAACTAAGAGGCATTAGACCTTCACCCAAAGGACAGTGCCGCCTTGTATATCTTGCACCATATATACCTCCCCTCCTATCCCTACGGATCAGGTTCACCAGCTCTCCATACAGCTGCTAGGTCAAACCACAAGCCTGCCTACCCTTCATCCCGCATTACCCTATACTCTGCTCGACGGACTGTACACCCGATCCAGCTAAGTCCTACCCCTTCGTTAACACACCATCATAGGCCGACGTACTCCCGAAAATACCATTTCGCCGGAGTAAGGATTGTAACAGTAGGCTCGTACCAGGGTTGCCGTTTATTATAGTAATAGTAATTACTATGCAACCTTTTAGCTCTAGTAATTACTATTTACTAACAATAGTTGTCGCGTACAGCTATCCGTCTACATATATCCTTCTGCTGTGCTAGCTGGGAGGTTGACCTTTTAGCAAACGCAACAGTTATGGGCCTAGCGCTTTAATAACCTAGGACAATTCTCCCTGCGTAACTATAGCGCTGGCGAAAGCTGTTTAGAAGCTCTCTTATCCTTATCACCTCTAAAGCCCACGTTATGGCTAATTAAGATGCTCCTCTCCTGACAGGAGCGTACTAGCTTAAGGACCACGCGAGCTAGCCTCTCTAGTTTATCCAGCTCTAGTTCTATGCTCTCAGCAAAAACCTATAGGATATGATTAATCTAGATAGACTAGACGCTCTAAATCCTATAGACAGCGCTCTAGAGATGCCTACACTTAAAGTAATTACTACTAAGAACCTCTTAGAGAAGGCTAACATACAGTACTAAACTAATATTACTAAGTACTAAGCTTAATTAAGTAACTAGGCTTTCTGTGCAACACGTCTTTAGACAATCTAGAACTAGGTTAATGTAACTGTCACACTAAAGCTTCTTAGACCTATAATAATACAGCTTATGTTAAAGAACTAATCTACTCTATAGGCACTTATATAAGCCTTAAAATAAAAGCTAGCACTAATAAATATAAGCATAAAAATTTTTATATAAGTAAAGTATAGCACTATATGTAACGATCCTCATGAATCGTTCCATCTCGAGTCGCCCGGAACCTCCGGAAGGCCCTCGTATCGGCCCCGACCTCGACCTGGCCCCGACCCCTGCTGTTACCCCTATTCCCTCATGTATTTAGTCGCACCTCGCCCCCGTAGCTAGCTCGGTAGTTTTCTGATATCCTTTCGTACAAGGCCTATAGGTGTCAATGGCATTCCCAGGTTCAGAGTCCCCACGCACTCCCATATGCCTCTGAGTGGACTCCCACCGTATTCGGACCCATTGTCTTGCCTGCGCCGTTACACTATAACTCTAAAAGCTTAGTACTAGCAGTAGCACTTCTTATACACTAAGGTAAGGACCTATAAGATTCTTAACGTAGAAGGCTAGCTAGCTGCATAAGACTTCCTAGACGCCCTAGCTCTAAAGCTTGCACTAGACTAGGCGCGCTCTATGCACTAAAAAGTTATAGAGGCTAGTGCACTTAGTAAGAAACTTTTAAGAATTTAGAAAATTAGTAAGATCTTTTTAATAATGCTTTAAAAGCACTCTTTACATATAAGTAACTAAGGCATAGGTATATTTATAACACTTAGTAAATAACGTACATTCAGGTATATACAATTCTCACGAAAATCTCTGGTACATACGACCATAGGACCAAGCAAAGTCTGAACCCCGTTCGATCTTCGATAGACAACCTTGGTACCGGTGGATTAGTAGTTAGGTGGGTGACCACTAGCGAATACCTACTGTTGTATGTTTTTGTCTGTTTTGGCGATCCAAAAACGCTTCATACTGTTAGAATTAGTACATTAACGCGTGGAGGATGTGCTACCCACCAACTTCAGACCGTTAATATAGAATAGTGATAAAGCAGGGTAGCGTTGTTGTATTAAGGAATATTATTACACGGTAAAAAATCGCTTTCCGCAGACTTCGTGACAAGGTGGCTGGCTTTGCATAAATTTTTCGCTAGAGATCTCTTGAGGTCGTGCTGCTTACCATAATAGTATTAATAGCAGCGCAGAAATAAAATAAAAAAGGTAATTCTTGTGCAAGCTTCAAATTGTTTGAAGGTCAAAATACCTCCAACATCTTCCGGCACGCAGGAGGGAGGTTACAATACTCGCGCTCAGCGTTGAGGTTTGGCAAGTACGTAAGTCGAACGTCGGATACCAATCCGAAAGTGGGCCTTTCCGGATTTGGACATGATAGGTTATCATGTTCTTGTGCGAGGCTGATTGTGACAGAACCTCGTGGAGAGATCGTGGGCTGTGCGGGGATCGAGTGCAGGTTGCGGGTGAAACGTGAATCTTCACTGGAATATCGACAATCTTGCGTTGCAAACGTTCCTCGGCCACTTATAGTAACGATACTTTCAGAATCGACGCCCGTAGTTGGTTCCTGATCTTTGACATGTTCACTGGAGGTAGCGCTGCCCTCTTCTCGATGTGTGGTAAAATGATACGACTTCTCTTTGATTAGGAGCGCCACGCGGAAAGGCGTATTTTTTGACAAAGGGTATGGGGCAACAATGAAATGATGTAAAGAAGAAAGATATTGAGGGGTTTGAAAGACACAGTGGTCCAAGAATGCTTGGTAGTCTTCCAGGGTCAGAAGACACAATACGCTTCGCATCGCAAGAACCTTTAGGTCTTTAGATGTTATCTTTTGGCGATACAGATGCTATAATTCTATCGGCTATTCAGATCAAGATTCCGTCCGTCACGAAGGAAGGCGGGAACAATCTTCTCATTAAGGGCCCTTAGCTGGCGTATATAGACATATCGGAACAATTAACGTACTTCACGGGCGAGTTGCTCACACACCTGAGTCGCTCACTTTTGCCAAGACCCCACTAAACCACCCTTCCTACACTAATGCATTCCCCACAACACTACTTAGACGCGCTAAAAGAATGTTAGATACAGCTTACGCTCTAAGCTTTTAAATAAGACATAAAACTTTTAAAAAAATGTGCTATAGCTATGTATAAAGTTCTATAAAAAATAATAAATAACTATAGCACTAGATAACCTTTACAAGCTAATTCTACAGCTAAATTATAAAGGCTAGGTAATAAAAAAAAGCAGGTAATTATTAAAACTATACTTAAGCTATATGCGCAAGGAATTTCCCCTTAGATAGCATTTATAGCTAATATAGCTAATTCTTTACGCGCTAAGTGTAATCTAGGCTATGTTTGCATAAACTAGCCTAGTATGTTTGTGAAGTGTTATTTAGAGCTTAAAGTAACATTTAAGCGTAAGTATAACTATAAAAGAGCTCTCTACAAGAGTTCTAGGGTAATTTAGAGCAGGTTTAGCCTTGTAGAGAATATTAAAGCTAAGTATAGCATCTAAGATAATAACACGTACAACTTTAGTAAAATAAGGTTTATAATTAGCTAAATATCTTTTAACTATACTTACGCTTAAAACTTTACTTTAAGCTCTAAATAACACCTTATAAACATACTAGGCTAGTTTATGTAAACATAGCCTAGATTACACTTAGCGCGCAAAGAATTAGCTATATTAGCTATAAATGCTATCTAAGAGGAAATTCCTCGCGCATATAGCTTAAGTATAGTCTTAATAATTACCTGCTTTTTTTTATTGCCTAGCCTTTATAATTTAGCTGTAGAATTAGCTTGTAAAGGTTATCTAGCGCTATAGTTATTTATTATCTTTTATAGAACCTTGCATATAGCTATAGCATATTTTTTTAAGAGTTTTATGTCTTATTTAAAAGCTTAGAGTGTAAGCTGTATCTAATGTTCTTTTAGCGCGTCTAAGTAGTGTTGTGGGGAATGCATTAGTGTAGGAAGGGTGGTTTAGTAGGGTCTTAGCAAAAGTAAGCAACTCAGGTGTGTGAGCAACTCGCCTGTGAAGTACGTTAGTGGATTTTCCGCCGGCTAAGATATCATAAGCTCTCTTGCAATAAAATGTCCGTCAAGTTTGTATGCAGTCCTCAGCGATTTCCATTTTGGCACCAGCAAATTTGTGAATGGAGCGATGGTACTCAGGGAATTGGTTCAGGAGCATGAATCATTCATCGACCCCACATTAATGAGTAAGCAACTTCATAATCCATGTAGGGTCATGTTAGGTGGACATGAGTACAAAAAATGAAGAACATCGCTAGTGCAAACTAAATCGGTCAAGAGTACTCTTCTAAGAACTACCCTTGCATTGCCTCGTAAAGACTCACCTATCAAGGTCGATTGAGCCCTCGTACTATGCCTCCAGCTTAGTCGTCAGCGTGGAGAGAATGAGGAAGCTGCATGCGTCTTATCTATTCACATGCCGGTGAAGGAGGAAATAAGATTCGTCAAGCCTCCAAGTATTCTTCGCACTCGTGAAAAGGAGATGTAAGAAGTTCATGCATACCTTCAAAGACGCTCCGAGCTACCTTTTGCGTAAATTAGTCATCGCTTGAATTTTCATGCCATGGCATTTATTCCTAGATCATGACTCCGACGACCCACTTTTCGTACTTCATTACAACAGAGTCTTGTGTCTTTCGGCTTTGTAAAGATTTTACCACTTCCTCTGTGTTTAAACATGTCCCTCAAAGTCTTCGAGCATCCAGCAAGCTCGTCACAACTCCAGAGAGCTTTCAAACAATCCCTGCCACACAGTATCAGCCTCATGTATCGAACTCAGCATGAGAACCGCACCTCGGACGCGCACATCTTGGCCACTTTCCCTCCCGATGCAGACATACCGCACTGTTGGGCTGCTGCATACTACGACCGATCGATGCGACCAGAGACCGAACTCTGGGTATTTGCTAGCGGGGAGATTCCTGGTCATTCCTCACGAGACATCACTCAATTCTGTCCGACATGCAGAACCGCCCTTCTTTCGATGATCGAATACATGGGGAAGCTTCCTGTTCCTCCATTGCATCCAGACAATGAGACTGCGGTAGAGCAAGCCAAACTGCACGAAAAGCAGTATCCGGAGTTGGGGAAAGACGTCAGATATCCAGTTTCCCCCGGCTCTTACCTTCGCCATCTCCTTCTCCCGTCTATTGTCACTCTTGGGGCAGTCCACCACCAAGTCATGCAGTTATTTCTGGAGGCAGGTCTTGTACGGGAGGATTTTCCCGGACCCGAGGCGGCTCTGAATAAGTTTCTATTCAAATTTTCAGCCTTACCTCAAACTAAGGAGCTTCCAGCAGGATTACGATGGGGGGAAGTGAGAAGACAAGATATCGCAATCGTACAATCACGAACAGCAATACCACGTGCTACTCGAACGTTGATGTCACTGAAAAATGTAGGGGTGTTTGATGAAGAAACTGACAAAGCCGTTGCGTGGGCGTTCCTAGGACTAGATGGCTCACTAACTGCATTACATGTGGAGCCTGGGTACCGTGGGAAAGGAATTGCAAAGGCAGTGGCTACGAGAATGTTTAAGAGGCACGCGCCTGGGCTTGCGGAAGATGGAGAAGGCATGGCATGGGCTCACGCAGATGTATACGTCGGCAATACGCAAAGTGAGGCTGTTTGCAGAAGTTTAGGCGGGGAAGATTCGTGGAAAATCTTCTGGGTTAGAATTGATGTTGCGACAGTGGAAGGCTTGACCACATGTTTATAAGCTGGACCTTGACGAACCGGTAAACAAAAGCTCAATTGAACGCCGGGGCTTCGGACATTTATACAGAATGATAAATACCTGGTAGGACGAGTTAGCTTCATGAATTGTAGTAGGTCTTAAACCATGCTGAAGCTGGACAGTGCATGCGCTCATTAAAAAATTAGAGTGTTGTTGCGTTTTTGATCCTCATCGAGAGGTTCTAGGTGTTAAAAAATATATAATCATAGCACGAGGGAGGTAGTAGTTGTCATCTTACCTGTCTAATACCAAGGGTTGCGGACTTCGACACAAGCATCACGACCAAAATCCACCTTGTTTCTAGAGGTTTCGAGCATTTCATATTATTGTTAGTTGTCCTATATCGTCAAAGCATGACCCGAACGTAGTGACCAACCAATAATGCAGACTGTTGCGCCATGCAGGAGATTCCGGTTGAGCACCTAGTCAAACAGGCCGAAACCCATGTCCTCATCTTCTGACTCTTCTGGTTCCTCCTCCTTCTCGGCCTCCTTCGCAGCTGGAGCATCGCCTCCACCGCCACCGGTGGTAACTGGAGCAGCGGACTCGTATTTGTCAGGGTTAGCAATGCGGTCTTTGAGCTCCTCGATCTCCTCCCAGTCATAGTCAGTTTCGATGGCAATGGCGAGCACCTTCTTGTATGAATTGACGACAGAATGGATGACGGATGGGAGAGTCGGATAGCCGACTGCCAGGGAGACACTGGCAATCGTCGTGATAGCTGAAGAGAAGGCCTTGAGAAGCTGGGACTCTTCGATATCAAGAACGTCGGATGCGAACGTCTGTCCATCATCATAAATCTGAGCTATACCCATTCCGTAGGTGAAGGGACTGTCTACGAGTCAATAAGCCCCAATGATTGCAGGACACCCTGACTACGCACCTAATGTTCAACATGTTGAGAAGCGTGGCTTCAGAAGCACCAACCTTGGTGCCAGCCTCGACGAGCTTCAGATCGGTGGTAATTTCAATAGTACCACGGGCAATCTTCGTCGGGACACCAAGGGCCTGGAAGAAAGAGGTCTTACCAGGTTCCATCCCGCTATGCCTATTATCAGCAACCGATCCATATATAGGCTCAAGAGCAGTTCTCACGTGTTTCCAGCTGGAATGTAGACATCTCCTGGAGCGACGGCACCAGCACGAGCAGGGGCAGCGACACGGTTGGAGAGGATCTTGTCACGGGTCTCCTTGAGATCGGCGTTGGTGAAGACAAAGCCAACATTGCCTGAAGCCCCGTAAGCATTACGCCTAAAACGCATGCGGCAGGGTGGACGTACCCTTGACGTGAGGCAGAAGACGCTCGTATTCTGGGAAGTCGCCGATGAACCCCTTCAAGGCGCGACGGACCATGGTGTTCTTGCCCATGAGAACGACACCCTCTCCACGGAGGGACTGTCGAATTTCGTGCATCTGCTGCGAGGAGACATTGTCCACCTGGACAATGAAGATGCTCCTGTTGCAAAATGTTAGTCACCGGCTTCCGCAGAGCTGATTTGGGTTTCGTACTTGTACTCCTCGAGGAGGTTCTTGAGCTTATCAAAGTAAGCGGCCTTGTTATCAGATTTGCCCCCCATTTCTTCGTGGTTGAGAAAATAGGATATTTAAGGACTTATTCGACGGTGGAGTTGTTGGGAGGAATTGGGTCTCGAGTGAAGTTGTGAAATTTCTGTGTGAGCACGGGCCATATTTAAAGTGAAGCGAACCCCGCTAGTGCGAATTTGGCGATGTATATTTGACCTGAGAACTTCGACCGTAACATCTGCGAAAAACTACCAGCAACACGATGGCTCTTCCATATCAATATATTCAAGCACGTAATAGCTTCGTAGGTGGTGATGCTACAGAGTGGACTCTACTTGGCGCTTGTGGATCAAGGCTTGTCGCCCAGTCATCTAGCGGAGCTACTTCATTGTGGCCAGTGGAAGACGATGAACTGAGTGTATGTATTCTCTACTTGTGAGATGAGTGTGGGTAATTTTATGAATTTTATCTCTGGAACTAATAAAATGTTAGAGAAACAGAGTGGACGATGAAGCCCAAGAACCCCCAGGAAAAAGGGTAAAATTATCACCGCCTCCTCAACCTCGGCCAAATTTTTGCTGCCTTTCTTTGTCCAATAACAAGCAGTATCTCGTTGCAGCAACTGCAGAAGACAGGTGCATTCGCGTGTTCCAAATTGAGCTAGACTGCTGCCTAACAGAGTTGAGCCAGAGGTGAGCCTTTTCATTAACAAATATCAATTCATACCACTTCTCACGACCTCTCCAGATGCATGGCAAGGCGCCTATGTGCAATTACCCTCACTCCAGATGACTCCATAATTCTCTGTGCAGATAAGTTCGGGGACGTTTACGCCATTCCTTTACTACCATCCCCAGATGATGAAGGGAGTGGGACCTCAGCCCGTAGGCATGGCGAAACTGCTCCGAAGCAGTTTGTTCCGTCGGCTAGTCTGCTCACAGTCCACTCCGGAAGAAATCGAAAAGTGTTGGAAGAGCAGATTAAGCAATCGGGTAAAGGTCAGAAGAAAACAAAAGAAACAATGAAGTTCAAACATGAGCTGCTGCTGGGCCATGTGTCGATGCTCACAGACATTGTATACGCTACGATCGATCCAGGAACGAAGAATGAGAGACCCCACGGCTACATTATAACAGCAGATCGAGATGAACACATACGCATCTCACGAGGACCACCGCAAGCTCATATCATAGAAGGGTTCTGCCAAGGACATGAGGAGTTTGTCAGCAGACTGTGTCTGACGACATCTGGACTGCTCGTATCTGGAGGAGGGGACACCTGTCTGCTTGTTTGGGACTGGCTGCATTCCCGGTTGGTAGATAGGCTCTGCATTCGAGATACCGTCCTATTCTTTTTGAAGGCAGATTCAGAGCTGGCATCAAGATTGTCAGAGGAGTCGGGCTTGAAAATCGCTGTCTGCGGTATATGGAGCGTGCCTCGCTGTCAACCTGAGGTATCAACACTAGCTTACAATGATGTAACGCGACATGCTGATGACATACAGAGAGAGGTGATCCTAGTGGCTTGTGAGGGAATCCCCGCGCTCTTCAGATTTGGAATCCAGGGCACGCAAGGTGCCTCAAAAATAGGCGAGATCATACCACTGAGTGGTAATGCACTAGATGTAGCGTTCATATGTCCACCTACAGGCGCATGCACCGCAGTGGTCTCGGTGGACAATTTGCATAAGCCAGGCTCCACGACAGAGACCCGTGAACATGAGGTAAGCAATCTTGGGGAGGATCCAATGACGCTAGAAGCTAATAAGGCTGGGTAGGGTCCATTCCGGCTGCAGTACTTCTCATACCAAGATGGTGAATGGAGGGAGGACAGGACGTTCGAACGCAAACTGGAATGGTTCAGTAGTCGAGCGCTGGTCGAAAAGGCTAGCAGTGCAGCCGGTCAGGACGCACGGTCTGACAGCACAGGTGAGACCGCGAGGGCGAGACTGGCAGTCGATGAGAAAGCAGTCCGAGACATGCTGTACGGCATGGAGAATCTGAGGAAGCGGCCAGGCTCCGAGGACTAGGTAGCTTTGCCGCAACAATTGGCGGCGGGGTGACAAGAGGCGTCCCTGGAGCAGGGGGCGTGTTGCGGTTCTCTGGAATCCGGTAAAAGCGTGCAGGAAAAGAACAAACCAATGTGGTCCCCGAGGCAAAAGCGTCGAAATTGGGCGATGGAGCGCGGCGATGGGTCAGGAATTGTCTGTGCTGCGGGTCTGGGTCGGAGGGTTGCTAATCAATAGTGGAGGTGCCAGCAATTTGGCCTTCGCGAATGTGCGTTGCCGATGGCTGTTGGCGGGCGCAAACCCTTCCATAAGCCCCAGCATCGCCTTTTTGAAATCAAAGAAATTAGCAAGCAGCCCAATAACACCCGCCCACTCCCCTCTCCTCTGCTCTTACCCACACGCCCGGCACGCAGACGACCTGACATCCATTGCATCCCCGAACCTCGACCTCACCATCGCCGAGCATAGCCAACTGCCCGTCTGTTCGCATCAGCTTCCAGTGCCTTCTCCCCCAGTAGCACTCTTCTTATACGCTTCTCCACTGTAGCGAAACGGGCTCCGCATAGCAGCTCAGAAATCAGCACACACGACCACCAACTCTCCGCCCACCGACGACGCCTGCACCCACCGCCAAGCTGTTCTCTTCGACGTTCCGCCGGGCCTCGTCTTCGCGGTTTCTCTCTGCGTTTGCACTCCCAATCGCCGCCGCGGCTTCGTCCCCTCAGCGAACACCGCCTGCCGCGGGGCTCTCGACCTTTCCGAGCGCGCCCTCGTCGCCCAGATCGGGTTCGCGGAAGATGCATTCCAGAGTAGTCAGTAAGTTCTCCCAGGGTCTGCGCTTGTGGGGCAATGCTAACATCGCGGGAAGTCATTGGGTAAGTCTCCGACGCGTCGCCAGCTTCAAGCTTATCGAGATGCGCCACATCTGATAGCACGTCATAATAGGATGCTAACAATCTGCGCAGCTCGGGGCCAGCAGGCCACACCGCAGCGATATATGCGGCCCGCGCCGACTTGAAGCGTAAGTCTAGCCTGAAATTTAAGTTGTGTGAAGGGTATTAAAAATTGTGCAGCGGTCATGTACGAGGGCTTTCTCGCTCTCGGCATCGCAGCCGGTGGGCAATTAACCACAACCGATGAAGTCGAAAACTTCCCTGGATTCTCGAAGATCCAGGGGCAAAAATTAATGGCAAGTATTTACTATCTGGTCCGATGCTGTTACGTCCTCTGACTTGTCACCTCTAGGAGCAAATGCGCGACCAGTCCGAAGCTTGTGGTACCGAGATCATCTCCCAGACTGTCGCCAAAGTCGACCTGAAGTCCCGCCCTTTCAAGTACTGGCTGCACCCTATGGGCGACGACGACGAAATTGAGCCAGAAACACACACTGCCGACTCCCTAATTATTGCGACGGGGGCGAAGGCACGGAGGTTGGATTTGCCGGGAGAGGACAAATACTGGGGTAATGGCGTCTCAGCCTGTGCAGTCTGCGATGGTTCTCTGCCAATGTTTAGAGATCAGCCGCTAGTAGTTATTGGCGGAGGAGATTCCGCAGTCGAGGAGGCGCTATATCTCACCAAGAAGGCGAAGAAGGTTACCGTGTTGGTACGGAGAGACAAACTCCGAGCGAGCAGGACGAACGCGCGGCGATTGACGACGCACCCGAAAATCGAAATCATGTACAATACGAACGCTACCGAAATCAAGGGCGACGAGAAAAAGAACGGGCTCATGACTCATTTGGTCATCAAGAATAATGTCACGAAAGAGGAGCAGACGATTGAGGCTCGAGGGCTATTTTACGCTGTTGGCCACGATCCTGCAACTGCGCTCTTCAAAGACCAGCTGGATATGGATGAGGACGGCTATCTCATTACTACGCCAGGCAGGGGTTTGACGAGCGTCGAAGGCGTTTTTGCCGCTGGAGACGTTCAGGATAAGCGATATCGGCAGGCTGTCACCAGCGCAGGTGAGTGCAGCCTTCTTTGTCTCTTCGATTGTTAAAATGGTGCGGCTACATGCAGATACTGACCTTGTACAAATAGGCTCCGGTTGTGTCGCAGCTCTTGAGGCCGAGAAATGGCTAGCGGACCAGGATGACAATGTGCAAAACGAGCTCGAAGTAGAGAACCAGACGGAAAAGTCCCAGGTCAATGGAGTTGTTCCCGAATACCGCTCAAACCCGCTCCTATGAGCATCTTTCCGATATTGCCAACACCTGCATCTAAGCGCCCGCGCTTCAACGCCGCATTAAAAGTCCACTCCTCCTACCTCACTCAAATTACCTTGATGAATTTCTCCTTTTTCTTTGGCATTGGCCCAGGCTTTCTATGCATACCTTTAGCGGTCTCTTTCAAGTCACAAATGGGGCTCTCCCCTGCTGGCTTTAGCATCGAGTTTTTTGGTTTTTCTCTTCGGTAAATCTTCTGTGAATAGCCTTTACCAACCGCCAGTAGAGGCAAGATAGACCAGGATTAGTCGGATTACTGTGTGAAGGGGCTATTTTTGGTTTCGTTATGGCTGGAGCCTGGTTTGTTGGCTCGCCGCATTGGCATGATAGACTCGAGCTTAGGGTTTTGGTAGAGAGGAATGATTCGGGGGATTATATACGAGCGATAATTGAGAGACGAAGAGGTCGAAGATGGTTTTGAAAGTGCTTGTCATTGGTGTGTCGACGTGAATCATGACGCTAACTATACAAGGACTGATAATTGGACCGAGCACAACTAGAACTAGTGGTTTGTCTTACAAGATGCTACATCGGACTATATGCATATCGGAAGTGGGTGACAGCTTTCTCCTCCCAACGCGAACCAGATGAGCACCATACATAGAATGCGCAGGAGCCCATAAGCCTAATAGTTGTTTATAAAACGAATTCGGCTGACTTCTTTCGTAATGGGTGGTATCTGCAAGATACAAAGCGTCTGAGTTGATGAGAAACAACACAGATCAAGAATTCAGTAGGTTAAGCGCACTCTCAAAGGCCTTGACCACGTTGATATCTGGGGGCCATCAGTTGTTTGCCATGAACAGGCAAAGCCGAAAGAATACAGACAGTGGTTTCTTGTTTTCTCCAGATGTTCTTCTGAACTCTGGACATGCGTCATGCGAGTTCGTAACCTAGGTTTGGTATCAGTAGATGACGATAGACACGGATCAGAGGAAAATACCGGTGGTACGTTCGATCAGTCTCATGAGCGTGGCCAGATTCCACCCATACGCGGAAGAACTGTTCCCACATCAGCCATGACAATCCGTGTTAACATGGATGGCTTGGAGAGCAATACATCCATAAGTTCCCCGTATTCCTTTAGGAGGTCTTCCTCGTGCTGCTGGCATTGCCTCATCTCATGATGATAACGCACTGCAAGATCCTCCCAGTCAAAATCGACAATCTGGTTTGCTGGGTCGCACTGCTCTTCTAAGTCTTCCTCGTTCTCGATGGCCGGCTTGTCGTTCGCATCGGCGTTTTTGCGCTGCCCGCTAGTGGGACGCATTGTTTCTACCGAGCCAGCTCGACTGTGCGTTTTTGAGTCTTCCTCTTGATGATCAATAAAGTGTTCATTTGCTAGGCCCTGGTTATTGTCCATCATGTTAAATGGCGGGTTGTTCGTGCCAACAAATGGAGGTGAAGATGGCATATAAAACTTTGCTTGTGTGGGCAGTGACGACTCAGATTCGTTGGACATGGGCAAGTGGAATTCTTGTTGTCGGGGTCAGTCCTTTGCGTAAGCCTGCAATTCACGGCCCCGTCTTTGCTATTTCACGGCCTCATTTGGTGAACGACCTTACGTTGATGAATCATGGGTTCAGGAAGTTGGGGACAAGAATCACGTGGGAGGCGCTCAGCGCCATTCCCGACATCGGTCGACTGGGAAGTGCGTCACAAGTCCCGTGCTTGGATGCCTGACTCGCGCCTTCAATCACTGCCTGCACAAGTACCTTCTGACCGCTTATATAGATGCCACACCCTCTCACTCCGTTTCTCTATACTACCGTGAGTCGCGTTTGCCTCGTCAAGCATGACGTGAACACTACCACCACTATTTTCATTCAGTTCCCTTCCACCTGGCTTTCCGATGGAGTCTTAAATACCCGCTTAACCCCAACCTCCGAACCTAATACTCACCATGGTCCTTCACCACAGACATCCACACCTTACACCACCTTTTGGACCTTTAGACGACATTACTTAACACCGTCACAATGGAGTGCGATATATGTGGGAAGCCCGGTGGCTTCTCCTACCCTCTCCACTGCATTACTTGCGCCCGCGCCGCAATCGAACTCCCCCGAATCGAGTTAGCTAAGTGCCTGATCGACCACGACATGGTTGGAAAACACGTCAAAGCTGTGGTCGAAGGCTCGGAAGACAAATTGAGCCAGCACATCTCCCTGACCGATTCAAGAGGAGGCCTACTCGTAGACCGACATGAATGCACGAAGAATACAGACCTCCAGCGGACGAAGGCTGAGACGGCTGACGCGGAGGAGCGCATCCAACTCATCAGCGAGCAGGCTGCATTGCTCCGAGAACAAATAGCGGCTGCAAAGAAACAGCTAGAGCAAAAGCGAGCTGCAAACGCACGGCGGAAGTCGGACCTCTCGTCCATGACGTACGGCATCGACTCCCGACGAGCCAACGAACTAGATAAGGTGCAGCACGACCTGAAGAGGATGGACTATAAATCTGACAAGGTTCATCATGAGACGACAGAGATGCGAATTTATCTCTGCAATACGGCGGCGAGGCTTGCTGGGCTCAAGACGACCCGTAGAAGGACTAAGGAGGGAGGCATCAAAGAAGTGTATAATATTGGGCCTGGGGCGCGTCTTCGAATTTATGATCTCCGAGACCTACACGGTATGCACATTTTGGTTTCTGGCCCATGAGTTGTACTAATATGCATCTAGATGCCCAGTCTGATATTCTGTCAGCATCGCTCGGTGCCGTAGCACATCTCTTGGTACGGATTTCTGCATATCTCGGCGTCCGCCTGCCTGCAGAGATTACATTACCTCACAACGACTATCCACAGCCCACAATATTCAGTCCTTCCTCTTCCTACCAGGGCAAGAAAGTTGTGTTCTCAGGGTCTACACCTTCTCATTCCTCGAGCACCAGCCCAGAGGCGTCCCGCACCTTTGACTCTCGAACCCCACTTCCTAAACCGCGAACCCTCTTCATAGATCGCCCTCTGACTCACCTCGCTGCCGAAGACCCACCCGCATACTCGCTGTTCATAGAAGGGGTTACTCTTCTTGCTTATAACATCGCATGGCTTTGCCGATCACAAGGCCTTAAGGAAGACTTCAATGACTGGGAGGACGTTTGCCCTATGGGCCGGAATCTTCATCGCCTCCTAATTGCGCAGGAATCTCGCACCCCCCCACGGCCAGAGAATCCTCTGGACAAAGACATCGCTCCTGCTAAAACAAACTCGAGGACACCCCCCCCTCGAGCTCCAGTCGGCTTCGGGCAATTGTCTCATGCCACATGCCACTCATTCCTCAATTCTGCACAGAATGTGCAGTATTTGAGTGGATGGAAGTTATCACCGACAAAGATAAGTGACAACCTGAAGGGTTTCCTACTTGGTGAGCAGCAGGCTCAGGAGTGGGATGTGATTAACCAGAAAGAGTGGGAGGACATGGAGAACATCATTGCAGAGGATCCTGTGCTCGTTGGGGCAAATCGGAGGGAGGGCACAGGGTTGGATGATGGCAGAGGCTACTTGACCTCTACTACAGGGGGCAAGACGATTACTGATGCCGCCGAGAGTGGTAACGAAGGAATCAAGTGGGAAGGAAGGAAGAGGGGAGTCAGCGGATGGACCAAGGTCAAGAGCCGGAATGAGGATGCTGTCAAAAAGACGGCTCCTGAGTGAACGTGCGGCCACAACATGTCTACCACTTACACAAGCTCAAGGCGGATCCGCATGCTGACAGATAGCGATGACAGGTTGGATGGAAGTTGACTGTGAATCTAATCTACCTATCATCTATTCTTAATCTGCTGCAAGATGGTGCAAAATGTTTAGCCAGCTTAGTACCGATCACGAGCTTCCAAAGGCCCTAGAATAGCAACGTGCCAGTGTGCAATAATATGGCAACCAGGAACAGGTCGCCGTTCACTCATGCATGATGCACTGTTTCTCAAATCAACACTTGCCAAGCCCGACGTGGAGCGAGGCAGTCGGAGAATTTTATTGCATCATCCGCAGCTTGCCCGACTGGATGTATGCACGAACGAAACACGGACACAGGCCGTCGACACGAAGCCAGAAGCCCGCATTTTGAGCATTTCTCATCCATCACGATTATTCAGACCGCAAGACTCATCCTGAACACTCGTACCACCTTCCGGCTGTAGTTATAAGTAGTGGTTGCTGTCATGGACGCCTTCTTCGGAGGAACAATCACACCATTGTTGCAATTGCGCCATCGGAGACAAAGACGAGGGGTTGAATCGCCCCGCCGACACCGAGTAGCTTAAAAGTACGCCATATATTTTTGGGCCTGATAAACGACGGAGTCTACACATTTGCTTCTTCTTCTCCTCTTCTTCCACTTCAGTCACCCATAGAATTTGGTATTATTAGAGTCGAATTCGAGATGACATTCACTGAACATCCCATCGAGACCCCGCCACGGGCACCCTCTCCAGTCCACAAATTCGGCACTTTAGCAGTACATGCTGGAAGCCCCCACGACCCGGTGACGGGCGCTGTTATTGAGGCTGTAGGTATACATTATGGCATTCAAAGGGCCGATTGCTAATATTCCCAGATCTCCCTCTCCACAACCTTTGCCCAGACTAGTGTTGGACATCCTGTAGGAGTCTTCGAATACTCCCGGTCTTCGAATCCAAATAGGTGCGTCTCCTTCACATCTGAGGGGTCGAGTTATTGTGCTGACGTGATTCATGTAGGGACAACTTTGAACGCGCAATTGCAGCCCTGGAACATGCCCGCTATGCCCTCGCCTTCAGTTCGGGTTCCGCAACAACCGCCAACATTCTGCAATCCCTCGCCGCAGGCTCCCATGTAATATCTGTCTCCGATGTGTACGGCGGGACACACCGCTACTTCACAAAAGTCGCGCTTTCCCACAACGTCCAAGTGACCTTCTCGCCCTCGATTGAAATCGACATCGCTGAGCTCATCCGCCCGGAAACGAAGCTGATCTGGATAGAGACGCCCTCAAACCCTACGCTATCGTTGGTTGACATAAGGCGAGTGGCTACCGTAGCGCATCAACATGGTATTCTCGTGGTTGTAGACAACACATTTCTATCACCATATATCCAGAATCCACTGGACCACGGAGCAGATATCGTTGTACATTCCGTCACGAAATATATAAACGGACACTCAGATGTTGTTATGGGTGCTGCGGCTTTTAATTCCTCAGAGCTGAACGACAGACTCACGTTCCTGCAAAACGCCATTGGAGCCGTTCCCTCGGCATTCGACTGCTGGCTTGCACACCGCGGTCTGAAGACGTTGCATCTTAGGGCACGAGAGGCCACGAAAAATGCCACAGCAGTTGCCCACGCACTCCAATCCTCGCCCCACGTTGTTGCAGTCAACTATCCCGGTCTCCCCTCCCATCCACAGTACGCTGTAACCCTAAAGCAGCACCGTGATGGCATGGGTGGTGGCATGCTCTCTTTCCGTATCCGCGGCGGTCATGAAGCTGCCGAGAGGTTCTGCCAATCAACCAAGATCTTCACACTAGCTGAATCGCTTGGTGGAGTGGAATCTCTCGTAGAAGTCCCAGGCGCCATGACGCACGCTGGGATCCCGCGCGAGCAACGCGAGGCAGCAGGCGTCTATGACGACTTGGTACGAGTCAGCTGTGGTATCGAGGATGAGTACGATCTTAAGGCAGATGTGTTGCAGGCGCTTGAGAAGGCAGTCGTAGGACCCAAGATCAAGAACGGGCTTGCGAATGGACATGGGCATGTTCCAGCATGAGAACAAAAGAGAGGTATCAGGAGCTGGGGGTGTTTGTGTTGATTATTTGGTCTTGTTACGAGCCATGGCAGCGATAGTTTCTAGACACGAGGAAAAAGGCATGGAATGTTAAATGGCGTTTCGGATGTCGTAGAGACCCGAAGCTAAAAGAGTATGGATGGCATTCAACAGAATCCTCTCTAATACAAGCATACAGGTGCCAAATCTAATTTCTTTCCTATGCCCTCTGGAACTTGACTTGCTTGTTCCCTCTCTTATGTGTATCTTCAGCAACCTGATATGTGGTCGGCTTAAGTTGTGTTGACGCTGTTTGCTAGGGCGATATCTAACCAAGTCATGGAGAAGCCCTCCCCAATACTCTTCCCCGATACTACAGAAGGAAATGGCGCAATTGTAAGTTTTACAGTTTAAGAAATTCATGTTTATTTCTTGAACCCTAGTGATAGTAGCATTAACCGGTGGTAGTTTGGATGCACAAAGAATGAACAAAAATAAAAGGGGAAAAAGGACGACACCTCAGAGATTCGAACTCTGGCCTCCTAAGAGACAAGCTTAGCAGGCTTGCGCGATAACCACTCCGCCAAAGTGCCTATGAATGAATTACTGGGGTTAATATGCAGTATATATACATGCTGCCTGACAAAGAAAAGAAATCGTCTCCAGAAAATCGGTAAACGGGAACTCGGCCAGTTGGATGGTGACTCTTTCATATCATGTGGCGGATTCACGAAGCCTCCAGGTGGGTCGAGGCAGAAGTGGACTTGATTTGAGTAGAGGAGTTGTAGTTTCCATGTTTTCATGGTTTATTTGACTTCACAGGTTGTGAAAAAAAAACTGCTTCAATAACGCTACACCAATCTTATTCAGTCACTCTACTTTTACGCGGCTACCTGATTTCACCCTTAACTATGAAGGTAACACCTAGCCTGCGATTCCAGCAAACCGATCACCACTCCCCGTCATTCTTTCGCACTAGAATGAGTTCCAAATCGGCCAATCAATCAACCAATACCTGGAGGAGACCTGAAAATGCAAAGTGAGCAAGAGTTTCACAAAATCGTGTTCTAAAATGGAGAGAACAAGGTAGCTGTGAAGCTGAAGGGTCTATTGATAGGATACACAATGTGTGAGTTCAAAAGGGGCATTCATAAGCATCATCGGATCTGCACGTTTGGAAAGTTTACCTTCCCAATCGCATCTCTGCTCTTGAAAAATTGTGCAGGGCCCTTATGAAGACCTGGTAGTTAACACCTTTGTTGTCCGGCAGGTGGCTGCGGTGTTGGTTAGTCATGGAAATCTACTCGAAGACCTGAGGGGTAGGTAGCTTACAATATCTCGGTCAACCGCAGCTGCCATGGCGGATACCCCTTCAACACCACGGTTGGGCCGAACAGAATCAGAAGATCTGGCTCTTCCGACACAGCCTCACGCAACTCGGCGTCAATCAAGTCTGCTGTAATCTGAGCTTGGTGAAGGTTCCCATTCTGGCTCATCTGTGAGAGCGTCTTGGTGAGATCGAGTAAAGTGTCGCGCCCATCTTCAGCCGAGAGAAGCAGCACATTCAGGTGCTGTCGATCATGCTTCGCCTCGGCAGGATCCTGGGTGGAGAAGTCGGGTGTGCGGGGTGGTGAGTAGGACTGCAGATGGGGTGCGCGAAGAGAAAGTGTGGGTTTCCGTCGAGGACCGAAGTAGGACTCGAGGGTCAGGGAAATGGCACTGTGCGTGTTTGGCATGTAGTTTTTGAGTTTACCTAGAATTTATTAGCCCGTAAAAGATAAGAGCGGAAGTCAAGGGCAAAGGAAAGGACTGACCTGTCCTCTCGTATATGCTCAGATTCGGAATTCCGGCGGATACAGTCCAGGCCGCAATCTCGCACACATCGTTCATCAAGCCCTCTATGCCCGCAGTGCCCTGGTCTTCGTCGCTCTCGTGGAAGTCCACAATTACGCTCAGATGTTTCGGGAGCCGGTCCAATTTCCTTATGTCGCGCTGGATAAACTCAGGTGTCCTGTGGTGATAGAAGAGCACCGCAGCCAGCTTGCTTTTGACGAGCCGGTAGGCACGCCGGAAGCGGAAGTAGATAGAAAAGAAAGCGGCGATAATGGCGTATATTGCGACATGTACGGCATGGCGAACAATGCCTGTCCTGCGCTTCTTGTGGTGGTGACGCCTCTGGTAGGGCGTGGAGGATCTGGATGGCGAAGGGGAAGAGGACGGGGGCTCGGGAGGCAGGTAGGATTTCAGCATCCGCTCGCGCTCTTTGGGGGTGAGCGGCCGGCCCTCTACCGTGCCTCGGCGGAGGGCAGTGGATTCCTTGGGGCCATAGCCCTTGGTAGCCATTAGGGCGGCCAGAATGGAGTTATGGGGGGGTTAGCAGCTTCTGAAGCTCGAACGAGGGGTAAGAAGGGACAAGAATGGGATTGGAGCTTATTACGACAGGAATGGTTGCTGTGGGTGTCAGTGGGACGACAAGCAGTGATGTGTTGGGAGTGCATACTTGCGCAGTATGAATTTCCCTGCTTGAGGCTGCCGGCGGTGCACGGTGCCGAACATCCATGGAGGGCAACCAAAATATATTTACTGCTAAGCCTTGGGGAGCGGCGATTGCGCGTAGCAGTCGCAACTGCTGATAGCGGACGCCAGACAGCCACTCTAGGGGTCAGGGCTCATGTTAAATAGATCAGCGTTGGTGGTGTTGGAAAGCTATCTATATGATCCAAGTCAGTCGTCGGCAGCGTGAACCAGAACCTGGGCTCCAAGACACTCCTCCGACGCGGGGGGGGGTTTCTCCGGCAAGCCACATCATTTGCGGAGGTGAAGCCATCCATGCTCGAGCTCCATCCCGCGCAATTCACTTCCACCGCCTGATCTGCCCGATCAACGCCACACGCTTCGCGACTCTTTCGTAGCGACAGCCTCCATGCTCCGCAGATAGCCAGCAGGAATCATGTCCGTGTCGCGCCCCAGCGGGGACGCGGCATCTATTCTCTCGCATTCAACCTCACGAACCGTCTCTGCCCGTGCCCCAGTGTTCACTCTAGATACTTTTTCGGTATGTGCTTCGGCATCGTTCTTGTAGCTCCCCTAACGCTGCTGCTAGAATAAAGACTTCATCGTCAAGGACTTTATCGAATCGCTGTCAGATGCTGCCGTGCCTGCCTCTCGCAGGTCTGGCCCCTCCTCTGGCCAACAAGCCTTTGACCCCAAGCCCCTCATTCGCACCTTCGAACACGCCCTGGCTCACTTGAATAACCTGTCGGAAGAGCTAGAGACCAGAGAGAACGAGCTCTCTGGCGCGGTGCGTCGAGCCGAATCTCAGCACAACCAGAACGTGGAATCGCTAGGGAGGAAACTTGACCAAGCGATCGACCGGTTTCAGCGATTAGACAGCTCACTGAACGGGAATGTGAACGACGATGGAGTGCAGGACGCTGGAGGAAACGTTGCGGTTCGCATCGGAGAGAGGCTGGAGGAACTGGACAGGCAGCGGCAGCGCGCACAAGACGCAAGGTTCTTGATCCGGTGCTGGCAAGAGGTGAGCGATAAAGGCGACCTCTCCACATTGGAGGACATGCGGAGGTTAGGAGGCGGCGATGGCAAGGTTCGCTGTGCGCATATCGCCCGACAGCTGCTCAAAATCAGTGCACGACTCGACCCAGATGGTACCCAACATGTCAATGGAAACGGACGTGCTCAGAATGGAAATGGTGTCAAGAGGAGGCCCGTTGGTAACCAAGCGAGGTTTCCGACACGAGAGATTATTGAAAAGTTCTTAGAGAACTTAGAACAGGACCTGCTACAGCAGTTCGACGAGTTCTATCGCCGGCCGAACTACGACGGTATGCGAGAATGTGCAATTGCACTGCGCGACTTCAGCGATGGAGCTAGTGTTATGGCAACCTACGTTAACCAACATTCGTTCTTCATTGACCGGAATCAATTAATCACAGAAGAAATTACTGGCGACGCTGAGACCTGGGATCGTCTGCAAGACCCAGATGCCGAACCACCAGGCGTGGAACCAAGCCTACAATCGCTCGTGGACGAAGTTCGAATCGTTGTCCAAGAAGAATCCGCCATCATAAAACGCGCATTTCCCTATTATGATGAGGTCCTGATCAGGTTTATCCAGCGAATATTCCAGCAGTCAATCCAACAACGGTTAGAAATGGTTCTCGATAAAGCTAACGAGTTGTCCTCTCTCGCCTTCCTCCGCTCACTCCAAGCAGCAAGAAGCTACATCGCCGCCCTCGTCGATGACCTCAAATCTCACGGCCTGACAGAGCACCCCGAGCCCGTAACTTCTCAAATCGCCGCGACACTGGACCAACAACTCGAAGACCTCTTTGTCCCCTACTTCGTCGGCTCCTCCTACATTGAGCGAGAGAAGAAGAATCTGGAAGAACTCTACTCCTCGCTCCTCCTTAAATTCACAATCTACCACTCACGCCGTCGCAAGATGCCGACCACATACTTCGCCTCCCTCGCTCAGCGTGGGAAAGAGCTTGCGGCTTCAGCACGAGATGCTTATATGGATCGTCTGGATAGCACGGATCTACCAGCAACGCAAAAAGCTATGCTTCTTCGAATCGCTGGTCTAAAGGAAGATCAGAGCGAGAAGAAGGACATTGAAGTCACTGACGAGGACGGAAAGCTTTCATTATCAAACGCAAAGCGTATGTTGAAGTGGCTGGCAGAGGGCGTCGGTCGAGGCCTAGAACTCTCTCCCGGCAACGAAACTCCCAAAGATGTCCAAAATCTCTTGAATTTGCTCCTTACACATATGGGCGAGATATACCTTGAGACAGCCCTGGATGCGTAAGTCCCCCAACTCCAACTTAGCATTCCGTGTCTGATATCGTCTAGAGCATTTGACCACGCCGCCTCCCAAGAATCCCTCAAAACACCCCCCGACCTCACACACCTCCCCTCGCTTCACACTATTACCACAATCCTCCATCTCCTCCAACAAACTACTTCCACCATCCTCCTCCCCCTCTGCACCCCGAACCTCACCATTCGCCGCGAAATCGAGAAATCCACCTCAACAACCCTCTCAACCCTGGAATCCAAGCTCTCCAACATCCTCAACTTAACACTAGCCGCGAGTCTGAACTGGGTCACCAAATGTCTCCAACAACAAAAGAAGACAGATTTCAGACCAAAGGATGACACGGACTTGGCGCTGCTGGCGACCGAGACGCCAGCTTGTCAGAACGTAGTTCAATTTTTGACTCGTGTGGCGAGTCAGAGTACGGCGGCGCTGGGTGGCAGGAATCTCTCTTTGTTCCTTGCCGAGCTTGCGAGGGGTCTGCGTGCGCTTGTTCTTGAGCATTTGCGGAAATTCTCCGTCTCACTGACTGGTGGTCTGGTTGTGAGCAAGGATATGACAAAATATGTGGAATTGGTGAGAGGATGGCCGACGGGCGAAGAATTGGAACCGGGTGCTATGGATGTCTTGGTTGACGTGGCGAATCTGTTCGTTATTGGGCCTGAGGCCTTGAGGGAAAGGTTGAGGGGAGCGGGGGCGGATGTGCAAGAGTTGAAGGCGTTTATCATGAAGAGAGAGGATGTTGGCAGCGTGGGAGTTCAGGCAGCACTGAGCGCGGTGTAAGATAACACTGGAATTTTAGACGATACTTGGAGGATGCCAATATCAGGTGTTTATCGCCATGTATACGTTCGATATGAATGGGTGTGGCTAGTTGTTGAACGGCCCCAACTTGGTTCATAACAGGATTGGATGAGGTTGTGATGTATTGATTCTACACCATGTCTTCGTGACTGTCATCGCCGATAACCCCACTTCACAGGCATTGAGGATTCCAACCCCACGGTGTAGCACGCGCATTGATGCACCGAACACCTATGTTCGTTGTAGGTCATGAAGTACATTTTCTTCCGCCTCGCCAAAGAACCCATGCAACCGAGGACCCAGAGCAATTACTTGAGAGGAATGAAACGGGAAGAGTGGGTAGCACCGATACCCGGCCTTCCGTGCTTAACGGGCTTACTGTGGAATAATTAGCCGTCACCCAACACATACAATTATCCAACTTGATGAAACGTACTATGAGATCGAGAACTCTCCCAAGTAATGGCCGACCATTTCCGGCTTGATCTCAACCTGGTTGAATTCCTTTCCAGAGTAGATACCAATGACGCTGCCGATCATCTCGGGCACGACGATCATGTCTCGGAGGTGGGTCTTGACGAGGTCGGGCTTCTCGTTGGGCCGGGCCTCTTGCTTGGCCTTTCGTAGCTTCTTGATCAGACCCATAGGCTTGCGCTTCAGGCCACGGTTGAATCGACGTCGGGCACGGGCATGGACGAGATCGCGGAGTTCTTCGGAGGAGAGGTCGAGAAGTCTGGGGATAAACCATCAGTATACTGGGGTCCACTGACGAAATTCCACGGTCTCAGCGGAAGGTCGCCACAAGGTGGGACATACTGGTCAAGGTCGACTCCACGGTATGAGAACTTGCGGAAGGCTCTCTTCTTCTTGAGCTCTGTTGAATTATATTGTCAGCCCTGGACCGTTCTCCACGCCTAATTTCATAATCTTGGAGATTTCCACGCCAATTTCAAGCCCAGTAAAGCCTCCAGTCGGAACGATACTCATATCTAGGTAGAGAGGTACTGCGAAGGGGAATGTGCATACCAGCAGCCTCCTCGGCGTTCTGTACTACTGTTAGCAAGGAAATGGGGAGAAATCAGCGATGACAGAGACTAACGTAGTTCTCATCAGCCATAATTGCGATTAATCGAAGTGGCTATATGGTTGACTTCGATGTCGCGGTGTTGGTGTTGGTCGTCGTTGAAGGATGGTCAGTTGAGGTTGAGCAAATGTGGGCGAACGCCAAAACTAAGCGAGGGCGAGGTCTTGGCACCTCAAACATTCCACAATTGACCTGGGTCACGACTTTCGAATTTAAAGATTAGATTTCATTTTAGGAATCACTCTGGGAACAATCTGGTACATCAAAGATTGAGGGTGCATGGTTTTCATTCAATGTTCGCTAGTGTAGCAACCTTTCGAAGGATTGCTTCAAAATGACTTCCCAATGGTTGCATTGAAAGCAGGCTCGACACCTCCCAAATTCTCCTTTCCATGCCATATGATTTCCATGAATGTAAACATGCATCTGTGCGCATTCGCTGGAGACAGGCACGTCGTGGTGACGCGCTTAGTCGAAGAGGCCAAAACCCATATCCTCGTCGGATTCCTCCTTCTCTTCTTCCTTCTCCTCCTCCTTGGCCTCCTCAGCAGGAGCGGCACCACCGGCGGCAGCACCGCCAGCAGCAGCACCGCCACCGCCGCCGGACGGGACGGAGGCGAGCTTCTCGTTACCCTGGGAGATCAACTATACCCGGATTAACCATGTTCGCAATCAGTTGGCTGCCACTATAAAAGCGCAACCCATGTCTGTGAATTTCATACCTCGTTGATGTCCTTACCCTTGAGCTCACCAAGAAGCTTTTCGAGACGGTCGTCGTCGGCCTCGATACCAACGGATTCCAGGACGCTCTAGAATTACATGAGTTTCCGGTTGAATAAGTATAGTCCAGAGAATCGCACCTTGATTTCAGAGGCAGACGGGGAGGTGTTTCCACCGAGACCCAAGAGGAGGTAGGCTGCGAGATGCTTCATGGTGAAAGTTGGACTGGTAGAAGGGGATTCGGGAAGAACAGGAGCACAATCGATTTAACCTGCGCAAATTTAGCGGCAAGTATTTACACGCAAGGACGATACATACCGTATGAACGGAGACTGAGGCTTCAAGTTCTCTTCGCTGGTTTATGAATGTGCGTGGGAAATGTTCGACTCAAAGCAGATATTCAACCACGGGCTGTGTGGGCGACACAACGCTAGCCCAATTGGAATTAGCGTCTCGGACCGGAATAACTCATCTTGGCAGGACGCTCGCAGACTTGGACGATCTCGCCTTGGCACGTGACGCCTCGCGACTAAAAGGCCGGCTGGCCTTCCCACTCAACTCTCCAGCACGCCCCCGACCACCATTCACCCCGCGGTTCCTCGGAGCCGCTGTATATAAGTCCTCTTTCCGCCGCTCTCCTGGAGGCTGTCTTCTATTATTCTCAACTCCTCGCTCTCCAACCAAGCATGTGCGACTTGCCTAACAACCGATACGACCGGTAATCCTGAGTCAATCCTTTTTCTGCCACCCAACATGAGCGTGAGTCAACCGCGTCTTGCAATGACTCGCCAGGACTAACATGAACCCTTAGTATCTCAACGCGATCCTCTCCTCGATCGATCCCTCTGTATCAGCTCCTGCGCCTGCGCAAGGCGCAAGACAAGCCCAGGCTCCGAATGTGCCGAAACCAGCTCAGCGCCCCGTGGCTAGTGTTATTGGAACATCCCAGGCACACCCTTTAAAGCGCAAGGCAGAGAGCCAAACAGACGGCTCCCAACCCAAAATACAACGAAAAGATGTTCCTCTTCAGGGCCACCGAACGAATGGCTCAGCCCGACCATCCCCCGCACCTGAGATGGCCAAATCGAAACCCTCCGCTCCTGCAGATCCAGCCCCATACCGTGGAACTGCAGCAACTGGTGCACTAGGTGCCACCAAATCATTAACAATCATTAACAGACCCAGCCCTGGAGCCAGTACTCCGGCTGCTACGTCAAAATCGACAATGGTTAAGAAACCAAGTCCTACCGCTAGTATCGCGGCTACCAGCTCTAAGCTGACACCTGCTGGGTCTAGGCCCACTGCTGGCGTTGCACCCACTCCCGGAGCCCCGCCTATGCAACCGAAGAAGGGATCGTACGCAGCCATGTTGGCCAAGGCGAAGGAGGTGCAAGTTGCCAAGCCAGCTCCCCCTCCTATCAAGCACGAGCCAATGAAGGTATTGACAAAGAAGGAGCGGATGGCGCTTCATGCCGAAGCGAAGGCAGGCGCGAAGGGCAAGAGGCCTGGTCTGAATAGTCCAGCAGGCACTGTAAGAGTTGCGGATGTCAAAGGCGAAGCCGGCAAGGAAAAACGCAAGCCCGCCGATCTAGGCTATCAGGGTACAGCACGGCCTATCAAGAAACCAGCTGAGATTAGCTATAAAGGAACGGCAAGACCAATTACTGCCGCCGGATCAGCTGGAAGAGCGGGAAACTCTAATGACCGCAGCCGCAGCAACTCTCTCGCTGCCAAATCCAAGCCAAAGCAAGATCGCGGAAAATATGGTGGTTATGCGAGTTGGTCAGACGACGATATCGAGGATGAGGAAGATTATGCATCGGATGGCTCCTCTGATATGGAAGGCGGTATTTGGGATGTGGAACAGGAGGAGCAACGTGCTCTCCTAGCTGCGAAGAAGGAAGATGCGGACGCCCTTCGAGAGGAAAACGAACTGAAGCGTCAGAAGGAGGAGCGGAAGAAGAAGTTGATGGCGATGAACAAGGCCGCGGCTGCGAAGCGGAAGTACTAGGTTGCTAGTTGGATGTTCGTCATTTCCATGGAGTTTTGGGTTCTAGGCTCACAGCATACACTGGATGGCTGGAGTTGGATTCCAATTCCTTTAATTGCATAGCTATGGAGCTTGGGGGTGCATGGAGGAGTTTTACACTTAGCGGAGAGCCTGCGAGGGTGGTTTTCACGGTTCGAATATCTCATAAGTCTATTCGCTAGATAAAGGTGCTGTATATTATCTTAGAGCAGATCCACTGAGTTTTAGTTCGACGTAATCGACACATCAGCATTTCGTAACTTGGTTGTTCAATCCTCAGAAATGACTACTCCTCCACCCGCGAAACTGAACCTGAAGAGACTTCACTACTTGATTGATAGGGTAGGACAAAGGATTAGCAATCTCATAATCGAAAATTAAGTCATTAAGTATCTTTATGGGTATCTTAGGGCATTATACCTCTCTCACTGTATCCTTCCGCTGCTCATAATCATCCTCCACTTCCTGGATCCCAGTAGCATACTGCCTCTTGCAGCCCTGCACCAATTCCACCATCTCCTCGACATCTTCCTTAAGAATCTTCAGATTCTGCTCTAGCGTCGATACTATAACGTCCAACTCAGTCTTCGACAACGATATCATAGTCCTCTCGTCCCGAGTTAACCTACTTCGCCCCTGGCTTTTTAAGCTCGATCCGCACCGACTCTCCCAACGGCGCAAATACTCAGCAAAGCCCTGCGCGCCACTCGGATCTGGTCCATGTCCAAAGACTTCAAACTTATATCCCTCCGGTACCGTGTCCTCCTCCAACCCCCCCGTCAAATTACTATCTCTCTTCCTCAATCCTCCAAACAATCTCGGCCAGAATCCCGTCCTCCGCTTCCTCCGCTTCCTCCTCAACTCACCCGTCCACCGCCAAAGCTCCCACTCCCTAACCCAACAGCCTCCTAGCACCTTGTTACTAAAATCAACGGCGATCTTCAAGTCCGTAATCTCGCGCTTCAAATCCTCAATGATAGCGTACTCTGCATCTATCGTCATCGTCTTTGACTCAAGCCATCTTGAGAGTTGCGGGAGGAGATGGTCTTCGAGTTGTTCATTGCGGTTACGGAGTCGGTCGACGATTTTGTGCAGTTTGCGGATTAGTTTGGCTTGTGTGGTTATTGTGTCCTCGTGCAGCTGTATTTGGGTTTGAGGGGAAACTGGGGTGTCGGGGTGGCTAGGGGGGAGGAGTGTGTATCCTACGCTCTCGTTACCGTTTGGGAAGCCACTGGGTCGAATAGAACTTCCAGAGCTACTTGACCTCCTAGAGAGGACGACGCCGTTGGGGAGTTCCTGGGTGGAAGGGCCTGCTTTGGATTCAGATTCTCGCCCATCTGAGTTTATACTTATAGCTGCGTGGCGGTCGTAGAATGGAGCCCCTACAATGGGGCGTGAAAAGTTAGGAACGAGGCCTATGTTGACGGCTAAGGCAAAGCTACCTTTGCTATGATCGTTGTTGACGAGATTGGTCTCGGCCATGCGCTGCCTGACGGCCTCCACTACATCCTTAGAAATACAAGTAGAACTAAGGATACGGTTCAAGGCAACATTCCATGTCAGTGTCACTGGAGATGGTGGTCGATATGACAATTGGCATGCTGGATGCATATCACAGGGCTCAATTGGTTCCGGAAGTATGAAAATTTCGTTGTCGGAATGAGATGTGAGGGTCTCCTTTTGGCTCTTTCCATTTTGCCTGGTGTCCGCTAATGGTTTCTGCTGCTCTATCTTAGGTGTGGGCGTGCGTAACTCGTCCCATAGCCGTTCACTAGGTACAAGGACAGTCTGGGAGCCTTGTGCAAGTAGATGGACTTGATCCACATGCTCTCTTAAAGTATCCGGTTTTAAGAGTGGAGCCCTTGGTTTAGGGGACGTATCAAATGTGAAATATTCTTCGAAATTCCAGTCACTCTGGTATAAAATTTTGACTGAGGGGTTCAAGGCTAAGGGGAGACTGCGGGTTCGCAAGTTAATGTTCTCTTGAAGATTCTCATTCTTCGATGAGATGTCATAACTCTTCTGCTTTCTCTTCTGCTTTGATTTGTCGTACGGGATCCTAGGTGCTTTGACTGTCTCTACCACTGTCACCTCAGCCTTATCCAGCCAATCAAATGGTCCTTCGGCAAGAATAGTCTTTAAACTTTGCACCTTCTCATGTCGAGACTCCGCCTCTTTTCTTCCCGCCACCATATTGTCCTCCATTTCACCTTCGTAACATGAATGCCATGAAAACCCCTCTTCATCGTTCTTGAAGTCCTCCGAACCCCCCAAACTCTCCGAATTATCCTCACTCATGACTCCGTTCCAGAACTCCCACTCTTGCTGCTCCCTGCTCTTCGTCGAACTCACCCCAGCTTTCCCTCTTGACATCTCCACCCCGTACCTTAAGTGTGATAATTTAGGTACGGCCTGGACAAGACCATCTTCATTAATCTCCTCCTGCTCCACAGGCTCCACAGGCTCCACGGGCTCCACCACCCTTTGCTTCCCCTTATCCAGTTCTATGGGCCTTACTTTGACGCTAAAGGGGCTATGCCGAACGTGTATATTGAACGAACGTCTCATGTGCTGAAGGAATGCCAGCATATCTCCAGACTCGTACTCATGGGAAATCTCATGGAAGCGCGACTTCCAGGCGCTGGGGTAAGTGCTCGTCATTATATATTACGGAATCTCATCATGTGTGCGAAATGATGATGCCTTGTCGTGAACCTGTTCGATAGGTCCAAGTAGTTCGTAATTCACGGTCAACAGTTTGTCGGTGAGCTGTCAACCGCACAAATCAACCCGCGCTGTCACACGTCAACTTCACAGGGCAAAGGGCACAGCAAGAATGAACAGGAAATTGAGATTTCGCGTAAATACAGGATCTCATCACCACCATCAACTCACGTCCACCGAAGAGAGATGCGGATCAACGGCTGACAAAAAAGGGAATTGGCGGAGGAGCAAGAGGTGAATCGGTTTTTGAGTGGTTTGGACCGCTTCTAGCTATTCGGAGAGAACTTTCCATATTCAGACAGCTGATGGCGAGAACGCATCTTCTATTATACATCTATTCTCAGAGACCAATCAGCACATTTTGACCCGTAAAAACCTTGGAAAGAGATTACCCACACCTAGAACCCTGCCTTTACACGAAGGCCTTGGTGAAGTTCACGGCAATATCCCTCAGCTTTCCTTCCAGCTCCTTACTAAGCGCACCTTCCCTCTCGATCTGGGCCAAGACATCAGACTCGTTGGATCGGAGATGGGCTAGGTAGTCAGACTCCCACTGGAGAATCTTGTTGACAGGAACATTGTCCAAAAGACCGTTAACACCAGCGAAAATCAGAGGAACCATCTCGTTAACAGCCATGGGCGAGTACTGCTTCTGCTTGAGGAGCTCTGTGAGACGCTCACCACGATTCAGGGTCTGCTTCGTAGCAGCATCCAAGTCAGAACCGAACTGGGCGAAAGCAGCAACTTCACGGTATTGGGCCAAGAAGAGCTTCAGGGAACCGGCGACTTGCTTCATTGCCTTGAGCTGGGCAGCGGAACCAACGCGGGACACGGAAAGACCGACGTTGATGGCAGGTCGGACACCCTTGTAGAAAAGTTCGGCTTCCAAGAAGATCTGGCCATCGGTGATGGAAATGACGTTGGTGGGAATGTACGCAGACACATCACCACCCTGGGTTTCAATAATGGGCAGGGCAGTCAAAGAGCCACCACCGTGTTTGTCGTTCATTTTGGCAGCACGCTCTAGGAGTCTGGAGTGGAGGTAGAAGACACTGGGATATCGTTAGAAAAAGCTGATAGCCAAGAGAAATTTTAGTGACTTACTCTCCGGGATAGGCCTCACGCCCAGGAGGACGACGGAGCAGGAGAGACATTTGACGGTAGGCGACAGCCTGCTTGGACAAGTCATCATAGATGATGACAGCGTGCTTGCCGTTGTCGCGGAACCATTCGCCCATAGAGCAACCAGTGAAGGGAGCAATGTACTGTAGGGGAGCGGCTTCGGAGGCAGTGGCAGCAACGATGATAGAGTACTTCATAGCGTCGTTCTCCTCGAGCGTCTTGACCAACTGAGCAACAGTGGATCGCTTCTGACCAACGGCAACGTAGACACAGTAAAGTTTCTTGGTCTCGTCGTTGCTGTTGTTCCATCGCTTCTGGTTGAGCATAGTGTCCAGGGCGACGGCAGTCTTTCCGGTCTGACGGTCTCCAATGATCAATTCACGCTGGCCACGTCCAATGGGAACCATAGCGTCGACAGACTTGAGACCAGTCTGCACAGGCTGGTTGACGGAACGACGGGGCAAAATGCCGGGGGCCTTGAGCTGGGCACGGCGCTTCTCGGTGGTCTTGATAGGGCCCTTTCCATCAATCGGGTTTCCGAGGGCGTCAACGACACGGCCGAGAAGAGCCTCACCGACTGGGACATCAACCTACAGCTTTGTTAGCCTGCAGGAAACGGAGCTGATTCCAATTGAACCTACAATCTCTCCCGTCCGCTTGACAGTCTCACCTTCCTTGACCAATCGATCGGAACCGAAAAGCACAACACCGACTTGGCCAGCTTCCAAGTTCATGCACATGCCCTTGACACCAGAAGCGAACCTATGATCCGATGAGATTGACTGGCTTTACGGCGGTTGGGACAGGTAACACATACTCGACTAGCTCTTCAGCCTGGACATTGCTCATACCGTGGACACGGGCAATACCGTCACTAGTGACCTATTGTTAGCTCCTAGATCCTCTTGCAAAAGATGCGACAGCTTGTTGTGGTAGCATACCCGACAGAGAGCACACGTCCAGTCTCGGCGAGGCCAGCCTCCTCCTGCACACCGCGGATTCTCTGCTCGAGGATGGAAGAGACCTCGGTAGGAGCGGCTTTGGCATCGGAGGCATAGCTTCGAACCTGCTTCGTCGTGGTGTTGAAGACGGCGGGTGTGGTTCGGGTCTGTCGCAGGAAAAATCGTCAGTGCTCGGTTCAGAGTGAGAGCTCCCTCTCAACCACCACAGCATCCTCTATCATCTTGGCGAAGCTCAGTGGCAGCGCCAATGGCATCAGAAACTGGTATCCGGAGTTGTAGATGATGCAGCGATGGCGGACAGGCGCAATTGAAGCTGGGTCCGATGGACTTACCGAAGCAATTCTGCCAGAGGCAGAGATTGCAGCGACCCGTCGGCTCGACTGGCGAATGGCTCTTGAGAACATTTCCGATGAGCTCAAGAGGCTGTTCGGACGTGTCTGCGATCAATTGAGATTGATGCAGAAGGACAGAGGGGAGATTGTGATGAAAAGCGGTTGAAAGCTCTGGGGGAGAGAAAGTTGCTCCTCCGCTGAAGCGGCCCGGGAACGAAGAGCCCTCGCCAAGATCGATGGTGCCAAGCCTGACTAAAAAGCCGCACCCGTAAACACACACCTCGGGTGCCTTCACAGCGACACTTGCCCATGGCAAGGCTATTTTCTTGTGCCTTGAGTAGCAAAAATAGATATGAACACTGCTGCTGAAGTACAAGGCATTTGCATGTGTGTATTTCGCTTTGTTCGTTCAAGCTCATAAGGACGTGATGTGTGTTGAGCAAGGCTGCCAGTCACTGAACTGTTGCCTATGATTGTCATTCATCCGGTATGATTCGATTGATCGATGGTGTATCTACGAAGAGAACGTGTGCTCCTCTGGAATTCTATTATATCGCCAGCCCTTCGTTGAGCCCACAACAACCTGCAATTCCCTCTGATATCAAACAACTTCACGTCTGTGGAGGTTTTCGTGGAGGTGTTGGCACTACTCCCTCAACAAGTTCATCCACAGCAGTTGCATCATTGCACACAGCCCATACTTCCACCCTTTGATGTGCATACTTAGCCCCTGCCAATATTATCGTCAGTGATTAGGGTTAATCCAACATGCCATGTTCTCTCCAAGCAACATGTTTAAGCGCGTTTAGAAAGTCTTCTTCGTCCCATTCACGGTGCCATTCTCTCCCTTGTTCTTGCTATCTTTGAATTTCTGGATCTCCTGTTCCACTGCCTTGTCAAGTCGACGCTTCAGATCCTGTCGATATCCCAAGGAGAATAGGATTTCGAACCATACGAAGAACGGCGCAAGAAAGAGGGCCTGCACGACGTTGTCGAGCAGCGCTGGTGCTCTGCCTTCAAACTTGCCATGGCCCACAAATTGTGCAATCCAGCACACTACGTTCACGCCCCCAGCCCAATAGTTTGCTGTCGCCCCATAGGTTGCAGTAAGATGGTTGGCGTATGCAGTGCCCCCAATGATGAACGGCGCAATCATTGTTCCGGCTACAGGCTCCATGAGGATATACAGAGTCGAATAGAGAACTGCTCCGATGGTGCCGATGTTTAGCGGGAGATTAGGGATGGAAAGCCACGAGGGTAGGGGGACAGCAGGCGTGTTCGTGAACTTCCGTCTCATTAGTAGAGTCAAGAAAATCATTTGAAAAACTTACAAGGAGAAGAAATGTCATGAGAATGGCTGGTACACAGGCGATGTGTATCCCGACATTCACCTTTCCGAGGACCCGACATTAGCAAACCGTCGTTCTTTCCTTCAACCGAGACTCACTTTGTTATGATGGTAAGCCCCATACTGTGACTGGTCAATATGGAAATATATCTCGTTCCTAAGAAAATACGCACGAAGAGCAATTGCTTCTCCAGATTGAGAGACATGGTGCCAAATGCGGTGCTGCTTGAATTTGAGGGGCAAAGATTAGGTCGGTCAGCAAGACAGAAGCATAGAAGGCATGCTTTTGAAAGAAGCTACAAAGATCCAAATTAACTCGCAGCAACAGAAGGCAGCAGGCAGAAGGTGTGGCACGGTGTTGCGGTAGTATCACGACATCGCGGCTTCCCATCCTCACCAAGGACTTTCACGTGCGCCGGGAAAACCAATTTCCGCTCCCGCCGCGCACGGTCCCTCCTTCGCGCTCAAGATCGCGCATTCACTCTTTCCAGACACTCATTCCAAAGGCTTCCAGCTTACTCCATCCAACCAAGTCTCCGGGCGCGTAGCCCAACCTGCTAAACGGCAATCAGCAGTTGAGAAAGCGCGCATGGACTGCAGGATTAGATTTTGACATTTGCGTTGTAGGCGCCTCTTGTTGGTTAGCATTGGGGTCTGCGTGCTGGTTGCATTCACCTCCAAAGCCGCGGAGCGTGAAGGTGAATGACAGCTGTAGAAATTTTAAAAGAAAGTACTTCAACGCTTCACCTCTCATCGTCTTCCGCATCCTCGCATTTAGCTTCCCGTTACCGTCGTCCTCCGTCTCGCCGGACCCAACTTCACATCTATTCGGACTCCACCAACATCATGTTCTTCCTCAAGGAACTTGAAAAGACTATTCAATTGCACCCTTCCTACTTTGGGCCTCTCATTCGGTCACATATTCATCGCGAGCTGCTGACTAAAGAGGAGGGCTCGAGCACTGGCAAATTCACCATCGTCTGCATTCTGGACTCTTTCGAAATTTCCGATGGCCAGGTCATTCCTGGCTCCGGATATGCCGAATATATCGTGCACTATAAGGCTATAGTATGGAGGCCATACAAGGGAGAGGTGGTATGTAGGGGGCGGAGTGTCTAAAAGGGTTTATCGCCGCTGACACGCTACTAGATGGACGGAGTGGTCACTTCCGTCATTCGCTCGGGGTTCTTTGTCGACTGTGGCTCACTGCAGGCCTTCGTGGGCCGGAGTGTAAGTCAGATTTACTGAAGTACATGACTTCAAACACTAATCCTCTCCAGATGATACCGTCCGACATCAAATTTGATCAAACCGCGACGCCTGCGCAGTGGACTGACAACGGCGAGCAAGTTATTGAGAAGGGAACCAACATCCGTATCAAGATCAAGGGTCTACGGTCCGAGGTGGACAAGATGTATGCCATCGGGACCATGAAAGAGGCATGCTACCCTTTCCACCCTCTATTATCTTCTAGCTAACCTCTGCCTTCACAGGACTATCTCGGGTAAGCATATTCCAAGACCTATGTTTGACTTGGTACTGACCGTTGTCTTCACAGCCCCCTCCAGACGTAGGTGTTACGCAACTTCACTTGGCGATGGTGAAGAACATTTGTCGCAGGAAGATGCGAAAATCCGTGAAGGAGGATATCCATGCGAAATTGCTCGTTTGTGCAGAATGTTGGTGGCGTGCGCCTACATTCATCGGGAACGATTGCAGAAAATTCATTTCGATGGATCAGACAAGGCCCATGGGCTGTGATAGATAATCCCATGCAGTTCCTTCTCCCGCATCGAGCGGAAATGTAGCAAATGCGGCGGTTGAAACTTTGGGTTCAACAAATAGCGACTTGGCACTTGGCTTCTTTGTCCCGAAACTGGTGTTGAATAGACAGCCCTTTTCCTATATAACACGAACCATAAAAGGCCAGCATGCACATGATTGGTGGCTGACTCAGTTGTGATTGGATACGCCTTGACCCGAACCTCTAACTTCTGTGCCTCCGTATTTACGGCGCCTCCGGACAGAGATTCAACCCCACCCACCTCAGACTGGAATCTGAGCGGAACCGTGTCGCGCGGCGGGTTGTATGCCTCTACCGTGCCGTACAATGACCGAATATTCCTCGCTCACAGAATAACATACGCCATTATGCCCCGGGAGCGTGCGGTGAACGAGGAGGAGACCGAGCCTCTGACCAAGGACCAGGCCTCAGGGCGCAATTCAGAAGATGATTCGCACGGGTCGGTATCTTCAGCGTCGACAACATCTTTGATTCTGGAGCACATCAATGATGGAGCGACGAACGGCGCATCGCGGTCTGGATTGGGAGAGAAATACCGGGACGACGATAGCGGTGAGCGTGGCCGTAGACAACAAACATTTGACCTAGAGGAGGGCCGCTACCAAAGCACAACTCCGGTCGACAAGAAGGCGCGCCGATTATTGTGGATTATCGGAACAATATGCGTCGTTGGGTGGGGACTTGCGCTGGCTTCATTCGTCATTGGAGGCAGCTACAAGCATGCCTCTACCCGCCCACATGACCCTCTCGCGACCGCCTCAAGAGGCTCAGGGAAGAAGGTCACGTTGGAAAGCGTGCTTGGCGGCCAATGGATTCCACAAACACAAAGCGTATCATGGATCGCAGGGCCCAATGGTCAAGACGGCCTTCTGCTCGAAAGGGGATCAGCCGAAGACCAATACCTTGCTGTGGAAGACATAAGGAACAAAGGGAATCTCGCCGCCTCCGACAGCAAGACTATCTTAATGAAGAAGCGGAACTTCTTTGTCGGAAGCAAATTCATCTATCCATCCAATGTCTGGCCAAGCAAAGACTTCAAGAAAGTGCTTGTTAGTTCCGATGAGCAAAAGAACTGGAGGCACTCTTCCACAGCACTTTACTGGATCTTCGATGTCGAGACTCAAACAGGCCAGCCTTTGGACCCCGAAAACCCAGATAGTGTCATCCAGCTCGCCTCCTGGTCGCCGCAATCAGACGCCGTCGTATTCACTCGAAATAACAACATGTTCCTTCGAAAGCTGGACTCGGATAAAGTGATCCCAATCACTCATGATGGTGGTGTGGAGCTGTTCTACGGCGTTCCAGATTGGGTTTATGAGGAGGAAGTGTTTAGCGGCAACAGCGCGACTTGGTGGTCAGAGGATGGCGAGTACATTGCATTCCTGAGGACGGACGAGTCCGCCGTGCCGACCTATCCCGTGCAGTACTTCTTGTCGCGGCCGAGTGGAGCAAAACCGAAGCCTGGAGAGGCTGCTTATCCCGAGGTTCGCAACATCAAGTATCCCAAGGCTGGTGCGCCCAACCCCATTGTATCGCTTCAGTTCTATGATGTTCTGAAAGGGGAGGTGTTCTCCGTCAAGATTGAGAATGACTTCCCTGATGACGACCGTCTCATCACCGAAATAGTTTGGGCTGGGAGAAGCAAGCAAGTCATCGTGCGCGAGACAAATAGGGAGAGTGATATTCTCAAGCTTGTCATCATAAACGTCGAACGACGGACTGGGAAAACAGTGAGGACTGACGATGTGAATGCCCTAGATGGTGGGTGGTTTGAAGTCTCCCAAAGAACAACTTTTGTTCCCTCCGATCCAGCTAAAGGCCGCAATCATGACGGCTATATTGACACCATCATCCACAAAGGATACGACCATATTGGATATTTCACTCCGTTGGATAACCCAGAGCCAGTATTACTCACACAAGGCGAGTGGGAGGTCGTAGAAGCGCCATCTGTTGTAGATCTTGAGAATAATCTCGTCTACTTCATTTCCACTCAGAAGGATTCTGTAGAGCGGCATGCTTATGTTGTCAAGCTAGATGGCAGCGGTTTGAACCCAATCACAGACACTGCCAAGCCAGGCTACTACGATGCACACTTTTCGACTGGTGGTAGCTATGCTCTGATAACCTACAGTGGCCCGGGGATCCCATGGCAAAAGATTATCAGCACACCTTCCAGCAAACAGACATATACCAGAATCATTGAGGAGAACAAGTCTCTTGAACAATTAGCCCGACAGCACGAGATGCCCATTCTATCTTACAGCACTGTCGACGTAGACGGGTTTAAGCTCAATGTTCTTGAGCGCCGACCGCCGCATTTCAACGAGAAACGCAAATATCCCGTTCTTTTCTATCAATACAGTGGACCTGGCTCGCAGACTGTTGATAAGAAGTTCCACGTTGACTTCCAATCTTACGTTGCTTCAAGTCTTGGGTACATTGTGGTTACTGTGGACGGCCGCGGCACCGGCTTCTTGGGTAGAAAACTGCGTTGCATTACTCGAGGCAATATTGGTTACTACGAGGGGCATGACCAGATTGCGGTGGCGAAGATGTGGGCCAAGAAGAAGTATGTTGACCAGGATAGAATAGCAATCTGGGGTTGGAGTTATGGGGGCTTTACAACTCTTAAGACTCTTGAGATGGATGGTGGTGAGACATTCAAGTACGGCATGGCCGTTGCCCCTGTCACTGATTGGAGGTTCTATGGTAAGTTTCCTTGGTTTGGGTGGCTCCGTATCTTTCTCACGCATCTAGACTCTATTTACACCGAACGTTATATGCACACTCCCCAAAACAACCCTGGAGGCTACGAAAACTCCAGCATCAACGATGTCAAGCATCTTTCGCAGAACACACGTTTTCTACTCATGCACGGTGTCGCAGACGACAACGTCCACATGCAAAACTCCTTGACTTTACTGGACAAACTCGATCTAGCCGGCATTGAAAATTACGACGTGCACTTCTTCCCAGATTCTGATCATAGCATATACTTCCACAATGCAAATAAGATTGTTTATGACAGTAAGTTCCCGAGTGCGAGAAAGATCAAGGGCCGGCTGCTAACTGTATCTGTAGAATTAAGCTCTTGGCTTATAAATGCATTCAACGGCGAGTGGCTCCGAATTGAACATGCGATTCCCAAAACCCAAGTCGAGGGCCGCTCTCGTCACAGGTGAAACATTTTGTTCCGTTTCAATTCTGCGCGGCGTTTAGGACTGTGTGCATAAGTCCATCTGACACGGTGAGAGACTGCACAGGCGTTCGACCGGATTCAAGTTTTAGTATTGAGGCGATGATCAGATGTATATATATGGGTTTTGTGTAGGAAATACCATTGTACACTGTTTGCAGTTTATACCTACCACAGGAGAACGCATGCCAACATCCGTAGCCCGCAGTGGCATGAACTTGTGGCACTGTGGCGTCCCCGCAATTGATGACTGCTCATGACCTCACTGTAATTCGCGAAGCTCTGAAATCATGTTACTCTTCGATTGCGAAAGGGCATGACAAACGACAACACTTCCATTATTAAATCCTCTCAATATTGTCATTCTTTTACCTTTTATTCACCCCGGGAGATTCTAAGCCCTCAAAATGGCCAATGCAACAAGGAAAGAGCTCCTGGGGAAGGTATACAAGATGATACCACCGATGCTTGAAAGCTTCCACAAAGGTAGTATCCCCTAATATTTCCGCTTGAGATGGATGTTAACATAGTTTCTCAGGTCAATTGGGCCGAGTAGCCGTCATCGGCGGCAGCGAAGACTACACAGGTGCACCCTACTTCTCCGCAATGGCGTCTGCGAAGCTCGGTTGCGACATGGTATTTACACATTCTCCCTTCCTGCCTCTCTATTTCAACATCTGCTTCGCTAACACGAGGACTAAAAAATTGCTTACATGCCTCCAGTCCCACGTAATATGCGAACCGGGCGCCGGGGCTGTAATAAAAACCTACTCTCCCAATCTTATGGTACATCCCTACATGCGGCAATCCAAAAACCTCTCATCCACCGAATCCCTCGACACTGTGTCCTCCGAAGTCATTGGCATGCTCTCGCGCCTCCATGTTATCGTCATCGGCCCGGGCCTAGGGCGCGACAAACTCATGCAGGACACGTGCGCGCGGGTAATCCAGGAAGCACGGAAACGAGGCATACCGTTTGTGCTGGATGCGGATGGATTATACCTGGCGCAGACGAGACCAGAGTTGGTGGAAGGATGCACAGAATGTATATTGACCCCGAATGTGGTGGAGTTTGGGAGGTTGGCGAAGGCGAAGGGTGTTAATATTGACGAGGGGAAGCCGGAGGAGTTATGTTCGAAGCTTGCGAGTGCCTTTGGTGGTGTGACAATTGTCCAAAAGGGTGCGAAGGATTACATTTCCAACGGGAAGTTTACGCTAGTTTCGGACGGCGAGGGCGGGTTGAAGAGATCTGGAGGACAAGGCGATACGCTAACGGGCAGCCTGGCAACGTTGTTAGCATATCGGAAGGCATACCATGATAAGACATGGGAGCATGAGGGCGACCTAGAGCCTGCGGAGACGTTGGCATTGGCCGCGTTTGGAGGGTCTGCAATTACGAGGGAATGCTCACGATTGGCGTTCAAAGAGAAAGGAAGGAGTTTACAGGCCAGTGACTTGACGGAGCATGTGCATCAATCATTCCTAAACATTCTTGGTGAGAAGGAGAGTAAGCTATAGGGAGTTTTGGAGGAATGCAATGGCCTTGCATGTACAATATACGGAAAGCACCGACACGGGTTCATGAGGGTTCATGAAGAAGGCGTGTGGCTTTGAGCACTTTCACAAGTTTACTTACAATATACCGTCTCTTCCAATAGTGGTAGTACGGTTTATATTCTGGAATTAGACAGTTGCCACGCCTCATTGATATGAATGATTACCACCCCTTGCTCGTTCGGTAAGAAGGCGCGACATGACGTCTTCTCGCCACCACGCATTCGCCAGATCTAATTGAGGACATTGTAAAATGAGGAGGAAGAAAGCGCTGCCTAGATGGTGTTGCGGGGCAATTGGTATGATAGCCTGACCCCGCCTACGTCATAATGCGGAAGCCCTCAAACTCCATGCATGATAGCGAAATTGCCATTGAACCCACGGTCCCATCTCTTCACAAACTGCATTCTCGAATCTTCAAATATCTTTAGCTCTACTAAACTCCTCAATCTCAGCCTCCAACATCAGACCAATCCAGAATGTCCGTCCCAGAACCCAACGCTATATCCCAACCCACCCAATCCCAAACCTACACAGCCCCTGGCAACCCGGCCTCCAAAAGCCCCCCCGAGAGTATACAAACAGCTCTCAACTCCCTTGACGGCTCTCGAAAGGTCGATCAGCGTGTCCCGACGAAACAAGCTTCAGATGACCAGGCCACAGCGTCATCCCTTGGCCGCGGTATCCATGGCGCACCACCCGGCGAAGAGCGCAAAGGTCTGACGGAGGAAGATGTTGGGCGGCATAATGAGCTGGATGCAGAACAGATGGGGGCGCCGGGGGAGGGGAGAGTGGCAGATGCGGTCGCGGGACGAGGTACCAAGGGCGTCGGGGGTGAGCAGGAGGATTTGGCGGCAGATCTGGATAGGTAGGTTTCGGACCTGGGAGTTGTGAGGGGTTATGCTAATTCTTTGGGTTTGTAGGAAAAAGGCTGAGCAGCAGGAGGCTAGAGACGCGATTAAGGCACAGAGGGCTCATGGGAAGGATGTTGGGGGTGCCATGGGTCAACAAGGTGGGGCGGCGAACCCAGTGGATAAAGATGGGTATCCGAATACTGGAGTTTGAGGTTGCTGGCGTTTGAATGACAAGGGGTGACATTTGTTGTACAAAGGTGATGTGGAGAGGCATAAAAAGGGTGCAGGCATTGGGGATGCTAAGCGGACTTGTGTATTTGATCTACTTCCTTGGTCAGACAATACCATCACAAATTGTAATATTGAGAAGAAAGAAGATAGAAATTGGGGGTTTCCGCTGCTGTGCCAAAGGTCTGAAATGTGCTGCCTCCCACGAACGCACCCTTTGCCGTGTTTGTGGATCGACCGCCAGATACCCAAGCAACGCTCAAAGTTGATCGAAGCTACCCTACCCGTGGAAATGCAAGCAAAGCATAAACCATTTTGAAACACCATACGCCGCCTTTTCTGGACTGGATACCCTGCACACCAACGCCGTCGCTATGCTTTTCCATTCCATATTAGCTCGAAGGGACTACTAAGACTCCATGACCATATCCCCGAATTCCTCCCTTGACTCCACAATGTCGTGAAGTGAGTCATGATTCTTAGGTGCTGATTCCGCCATCTTAGCAGCCTTCTCTCGAGTCCTCCGACACCAATCTTGAATCGAATCAACGGGTCCTCCCTCGATTCTGACGTGCTTGGCCTCCGATGCGCTGCCTAGCGCTGTTCCTTGGAATCGGGATTCTACACCAGTTTTGCTATGCTTCTTCATGAGAGCTGCGTGCTATCTCAGTCCTCTTTTCCTTCAAGCAAAGTAAATGAGAACTCACTGTTCAGATAATCTTCCATCTCCATCGCATCTAGTGCTTCGGTCTCGGTCATGTTCTGCGGTTTCGCTGTCCCCGCTATTCGGTGGATCTCCATGTTGTGATCACCTTTGGCCCACTCAATGAATTCGTTCACGTCGGCCGTGTCTTCGGCGTCCCTCCTCCTTTCTTCCTTGGCACGTGCACCGGTTTCCTCCTCATAGTCATCTAGCGGCTTCCTTAGCTTGTCTTTCCAGAGTTCCTCGGCCGCAGTTAGGGACGGGACGAGAATACCGCAGTCCTGCATGGCCATGCGCACATCGGTGATGTCAGGGGTGAGGTCGTTGTGGTTGGAATATGCATTGTGAGCGGTGCGCGATGCGACCAGGAGAAGGTAGCGCGAGGTAAGGTCGACTAAGGTGTCTATCACAGAGGGTTTGGCGCTGTGGAAGCCAGAGGCGCGCAGGATGTGAAGGACTGCAGGTCGGAGGAGGGTGCGGAAGAGGTCGCTTGCGGACATGCTTGCAATGGGAGTGGTGGGCGAGCGTGCAGAGGTCCTGTTGTTGAAGTATTGTTATCTGGGAAGGAAGCAGCGCATTCTGGGGAAGGTAGAGTCAGGTCAGCAGGAAACAGAAGCCGAGTGAAGGCAAGTGGGCAGCTCAACAACAGAAGCTTTGATCCTGGTTCATTCACCACGCTTGCCAAGGCCGCGAATCTCCCGCCCCATCTCATTGATCTTTTTTGATCGCGACTCCGGCCTGGTCTCTGGTTCAGACAACCAGCCTCCCCAAATCCCCAAATATCACAACCCCCCTTCAAGCCTAGGAAGGGCCGCCGCCCAAGGACCCTGTCCTTTAGCACCGTCTCCACTCACCAGCCTTCACCATCGACAACCATCCCCCGACTCCGCTGCCGACATCACATCCCCCGTTCACCATGTTGAAACTCAAGATCAGGAACCCAAATACCGCGCCCGCGGAGCCACCAGCTGCTGAACCCTCGGCTGATGCGTTGGCTCAATCACCCCCACCGCCTACCCCCAGCACGGCCGGGGGAACAAAGCTCAAGCTGAAGGTGAACAAACCTTCTGCTACCGCCCCAGAAGGTGATCCCGCCGAACCGCCAAAGCAAAAGCGCAAATACAACCGCAAGCCCAAAGTCGGCGACGACGGGAATCCAATCCCCACCCCCCCCAAAGCTGCCCCGAAACCGAAGAAACGTGCCCGAGAGGAGAGCGGCGAGGATGGCTCTCCTGCGACCAAGCGCAGGTCTAAGCCCACGGCGAAGAGGCTGGCTCTCACCCGTGAGGATGAAGAAGAGGATGACATGCATGCCACAGTGGCAGCCGCCCCGCCTGCCTCGCGTCCACAACCTGTGCGACAGCCCTCCATGAAGCTCTCATTTAAACCTACTCATGCCAAAGCTGCCCCGCAACTGCAAAGGACTGGCACTACATTGATCAAAATCAAGGGTCATCACGGTAAGCCTCCCGTAAGGCCACCAGGCGTTGGCTATGATAGCGAGGCCGAGGATGCAGAGGAAGACCCCGCCATCGAATCCCAATTCATATTGCGAATGCGGCCCGGAGCAGACTGTGACGCCCTTCGGAAAGCAATTGAAGATAAAACAATAGGAAAGACTATCTCTCAGGGTGGCCCTGGAATCAGCTTCCGATTCTTCGATCGGGAGGGTCGGCGCGCCATGATCCATATTAAAGGACGAGTGTATGCGGCCTGCATGGTGGATCTACCCTGTGTCGTCGAATCCATGAAAAGCTGGAACAAGAAAGACTGGGTCAAGACGGCCGATATCTGCCAAATGCTGTACGTCCTCGGCCAAGTTAAAGACGAGGAGGAAGCAAAGAAATTCTCTCTCCCTCGCGAAGTCGAGCCATCATCCCACCAGTACGCCCACGGCCTGACACCCCCGATGCACTGGGTTCGTAAGCGGCGCTTCCGGCCACGAGTGTCCTATCGCCGCATCGAAGAGGTCGAAGCCACGGTAGACGCCCTCCTCGACGACGACGCCAAAGCGTCTGCAGATGGCGGCAAATGCGAGTACCAGGTCCTGGATGCCGACAAGCTGAACTCAGACGAAGACACCTCCAGCGACGAATCGGAAGAAGATGAAGAAGTGGTCGAGGCGCAATACATGGAAGGCGAGACACCTGCTGCTATAGACCCGGAAGCCGAAGAAGTCGATGCCAACGACCTGGAGAAGATGATGGCCGCAGAGTTCGAGGAAGACGATCTCTTTGGCGGCGGTATCGTGGATACGCCAGCAACTTCCCACGACGTAGCATTGCATGCTCTCGGCGAGACGGCCATCCCGACAACCGAGAGCCCTGGTTCTAATCCTGAGACGGAATCCGCAGACGACGACGACGACGATGACGACGATGCAGAATCAGATGAAGAAGTCGTCGACGAGGTCGCTCTTGCGGCGCAACGTGACCAGGACCAGACCAGGGAGGAGATTAAGGAGTTGGAGAAGGAGATTGCGGCTGCTTGGGAGCAGCATAACAGGACCGGAAATATCCCCTTCCAAAAGAAGATCAAGCAGAAGATTGAGCGGTTGACTCAAGATTTGAATGTCAAGAAGTCGACGCTTGGAGACGAAGTAGATTGAGCGCTTCACGCAGTAGGTGAGGGATAGGAAGTCTCGTAGAATTCACAGAGGCGTTTTATTCTGCATTTTTGAAGCTTAGGCTTGCTCAGGGTGTCCTCCAGGATATCAGACACCAGCATAGGGTAGCGTGTAAAAGAACGCTAGATTGTCACTTTACACTGCAGGTCTACTAGTGGAATGAGAAGAGACACCATCTGGATTAAGTCTGGATATATACTGTTTATTGATACTCGCCGCACATGACAGCGAAGACAAGGACCCATCTATCGCTCCCAATGCTGAATTCAAGTGCAAAGCGCCTAGCCTAAAGCGCCCCAGAAATCCCAGAACAGAGGAGAGCGAACTTGTGTGCAATGAGGAAAACAACAAAACGCCGCCAGGGTATGAATGAAAGAATTGAATGACAGCCCCTAAATCCAAGATTATGCTCGCTAGCTATTGCTTTACCCCTGAATAACAAGAATCCAGTCTTAAAACACCAAGCCCAACAAAGTCTAACATCATCATGGTTGATCGTGTTCGTCAGTCGTAGAGCGTGTGTGAATTAAAGGGCCTTCAAACCCGAATTCCACTGCCTCCACTCCACCGAAGCCTTCTCAAGCTCATCCCTGCTCTTCCTAGCCCTGTAGTAGCTTCTTTACTACACCTGCCGGCTTCACCACCCACGGTACCTAATTGGCCCATAGCTTCTGCGTGGCCCGCCTCCTTACCAACAACGTACCCAGCGGAGAAACTCAACGCACTCACAAGGACTACAACGCCAGCGCTGACTACCCACGTGAATAGCGTAGGGCTGATTTCGTCGACCATTGGACCCGTCCTTCGTGCTTTCTTGATCGCACGACGGTCCTTGCTATTGCCATGGACGTTGGCGCCGGTGGGCATGCCAGCTTTCCGCTTGGATTTGTCTGAAGGGCTTGAACTGGTGGTGCGGGGAGAGGAAGCAGGAGAAGATGTGAGCGGGTTGCTGCTTGTTTCTTCGCCTTCTTCGCCCAGTGCAACGGACTCGGGAACTAAACGGAGTGTCGTTGGGTCTACACGAGCCGAAGGATTTGCTGTGCTTGTACGGGATTGGCCTGGCTTGGGCAGGCCACGAACAGCGGCAGCAGCAGACAGGAGTGTTGACAAACTAGCTCGTAGAGCCTCGTCATGGTCGGCATGATATGTGGGGGCCACGGCGTTGAAAGGAGAATGCTGTGGGTAGGAGTGACGCTGGGACGAAGCTCGAACCGCAGGCCTTCGAGAAGGGCAACTTTGTCCTTCCTGCACTCTTATACCCTCAGCTGTTGGTGGGTGTGAGAAGGCGTTAGGTCTCGGCTCGAAAGGGCGACCCGAAGACCTGGGGTAGTTGACCGCAGTTGCATTCTCGTCATCGTCGTTTTCGTCATCTCCCTCCCGCTCCGACATAGTCTCGGAAGAAGCGACCGAGTACGCGTTTCGGGAGGGGCGACGCAATTCCTGCTGAAGAGGAGATGGACCGAGGCCCTCATTCGAAGACGTCATGACCCGATCTGACTCGCTCTCACTCTCCTCGTACTCTTCCTGACTGCTGCCTCCGCCTGCGCTGCCCGCACGGTATCCATGTCTGGCGGTTCGGAAGTGACTGGAGCTTCGTGAGCGTCGCCGTCGGCGATGAAGGTTTGAATCATGCTGGACTCGGAGTCCAGTTGTAATGATTTCATCGGCGACCGAGGAGAGCGAGGATGAAGATGGCCTTGATCCGATTTCTACCCAGGATTCTGGTGGGTGCCAGTGGTCAGTAGGGGAAGATATTGGTGTACGTGGAGGGGTTCGAAGGGAGCCAAAGGACTCGGTGCAGCCCCGCGCAAAAGACGTACCCTCTGAGGCTCCACCCTGCCTAGGTCGAGGGCCTTGGTTGTGGTTTTGGTTCTGCATCGCGCTTCCCTTGAGAGGGGGGTTACACGTCACAGTGGGGATATGCGCTCAGCTGGAGGTTGCTCTTCTGATTTGGGTTCTTTTGTTTCCCGACTTGGAAAGCCAGCTTCAAGATGCAGGTCCAGCGCTCAAGTAAGCCGGTGGGATCGCCAAAGCAAACAGCGAGGGCGCAACGAAGATGGTGTTTTCTAGTTCGCACCCTCAACGTCGCGCCCGCCAGCGTCGTCGTTGGAGATAACGTTCAAGCCCAGTTGCTGACGCGGGCAGCAGAGGCTGGCTGGACCGTCTTGCGCACGGCCTCTAGATTGGCGCGCGATGACGTCTCAGCCGGGAACCGTTCCGAATAATGAGGGCTAAGCGCGGATGAGGGCTTGAGAATGACAGAGAAGGAGGGTGCAAAAGATAGGTGTTGGGGAGGGGGGAGGGGGGAGGGGAGGAGTGACGAGCAGGATTCAATAAGAATGAAGTCAGACCGGGGCCTGCGTGATGGTGTTCCTGGAACGGCATTCGTGGGCAACAAGTCTTGCAGGGTTGTCACGCACGCAAATGGGCGGTGGAAGCCAACCTCGTGGACAAATCAACTGTCTGCGCCCACCTTCCTCATTCGTGGCTTAGCATTCACTTCTCGCTCACCTGCTCAGATACCAGGCATACATCTATCTTCTTGTCCCTGTCCTCTCCCCTTGACACTCTCGACACAAGTCTTAGTTACTTCTCTTCGCGGCCGGTTTTGCGTTAATATCGACGTTTGATTGGGACCTGCACAGGCAACGGCAATTTTGTCCCCGCACAGTATCCACAACTCTGGGAGCACCGTCTCAAATCCTATCGTGTCCATCACGCCATCAAATGTGCTCTCGACTCTTAGTGGACCAAACCTAACGTATATGTATGAACAGTTGTAAACCTTGGTCTCAGCACTGATGCATCTTATCACGCATCACCAAAGGTGGAACATGGCAAGCGGTATTCGGAGAAGTTTGCAGGCGATGCACGTTCTCTTTAGCCTCAGTGAGACGTATAAGTAACCAACTCCGCTCTGCCCACAGTCCTAAATTCAGGGTGAATATGCGGGAGATATCCCACGAATGTCTTGAAACGATGCGTAACAAGCACAGCATTGAACTAGCACATGAACCATGCTGAAGCCTTTCCCGCGAGTCTGTCCTCACTAATGTACGCTTTCGAATTTCCGCTGTCCTCCTCTCTTAGTCTATTGCCGTCCGTTCCTGGGCCGAGGCATACTGGAAGTCAGACTTTATTTGACTTCATCTCATTTCGTTCTTCCTCCCTCTGTTCGCACTGACTGGGTTGCCTCAGGCTAGGTTTTTGACGTCAATCGGAAGGACTGGTGCATGAGCCATGCAGTCTACTTTTAAGTCTACTCGCACCTTCATTTCCACCGGCACCACCTTGCTCCCATTTGTTGGAGATGGTGGCACTGAATGCATTGAGGTAGACTCGATTCGGCACTGTTTCGACGGAGCTTTTCGTTGTTGGGGGTGGACTCTGTGGAGTGGATTAATCCAGAGGCTGGAGAAGTAAACCGGACTTTTGAGGGTCTGTGTCGTTCCTTCTGGCTAATTCCCTCGTCATCTGAGACTGTGGACATTGGGAAGCCAGAACCTTCAACTCGACGAGATCGTGTCACTTCTTTGAAGACCCCCTTGTCCTTGTACATTGTCTCCCTAATTTTGGCAGGACGTGGGAGGGAGGATGGCCGACCTTGTGGTTTAGGATGTGGCATCCCCGCTGCTACCACCCGAGCCTTCTGGATGGCTGGGTGGTGTTTGCAGAGCTCCTCAGTCTTGCCCGCTGCTTCAATGGAAACACCCCACGTCCACTGGAACAAGACCTCCAGATAGTGGCGAAGACCTCCAAATGTGGTACATTTCCCCTTTTCCGCGAAAAGAAGATAGTGTGCAAACCTGCACTTGTCTGCCGTTGACGTAGGGGGAATATCTGAGAGTGGGCGTCCGGCTAACTAAAGTATATGTCAACTGAAGTCTCACAGAACAAAAGAATCCTGCAGGCGTACCAGTCTATCCTGCAACGTATGCGCGTATCGGTAGAGTATGCTCAAGGCTATGCTCCGCTGGCCATAAGGTACTAATTTCACTGCCCTTTGCCCGCATAATGTCTCCCCAATTTTGACCTTCGCATCTCGGAGGAGTTGGTCCTGCCCTAAAGCCAGGGCTCTAGGCAATACACTCTTTTGTATGACGAGTATCCCTTGCTCTAACTTTTTGAAGCGGCGTTCATGGATCCCCTTCTGTTCTTCTCGTCTCATTACGATGCTGTCAATGGTGTCCTCGATAAAGTATCGTTTTGCTTCGAGCTTCTGCATAAGAGCAGGAAACGTGTCCAGTTGCTCGAATCCCTCTTTGTGCATGAAGACTGCCCAAACAGACAGCTCTTCATCGCACAGCCGTTTATGTTGTTGTGATTTCCATAACTGGTGCTCAGAAGCTAAGTGCAGCTCAGACAGGCGACGGTCAAGGCCCGAGTCTAGCAGCTCCATTCTGAAGGATGGCGCATCTAAGTCTATCGATAGTTTTAGTATGTCAGCTGTCACATAAGGGCTAAGTGAATATTACAACTTCCCTACAATGATTTAGGTGAATGAGCCATTTCACGTCACTGTCGAGAGCACAGGGGCGGGGATGAGACGACGTGGCTGTTCCGGGGCGCGCATCCGAACCGTGGAAAGTTGAAGTCGTCGGGGTGTTCATTGTCCATTAGACTAAAATGTACCCAAAGCTAGGTGCTAACCAAGTAACAACCACCCTTCTGAAGCGGTCGACACAACGTGTTCTATGGAGAGACGTAGAACAAGACAGAAAAAAATTAATTTAGAATTAACGCCACGACAGATTCAACGCCAATGATGTGGATGAAACCCCACGTTATTCTTCTATGTGGGGAGGACAAAAGCACCTTCGAACAAGGGAGGGTGGAGAAAGAAGCACCAGGGAATTTGGCGCTTCTCGACATACGTAACTAATCATCGTAAAGCAGACGGCCGATAACGACAGAATGAGAAACCAGAAGAGAAGTAAAATCCTCAGACTCAACGAGGCCAAGAGAAATTCAAGATTCCGCCATTGCTAGGCTAGTACGTGAGTTTCCATGGTAGCTTCGAAATTTACTAAATATGTTACAAGAAGGCCGGAAGAGGAGATGCAGATTAGAAAAGAAGCTCGTAAACCCTGCGCATCATGGGATATTCTAGAGAAGACAGTCCGATCAACGTGGCGGCCAAATGAAATCCGAAAGTATAAAAGTAGTCGTCGTCGTCTCGAAGTGCGCTCATGCCAAGGAGGCTCCTCTTTGTGTCATTAGTGATTACCCTTCTTCTCTTTCTCCTTGTTCTTCTCATCCTTCTTTTTTGACTCCTTCATGTGTTTGACTGAGTCGCTTATCCAGTCCTTGAATTTTTCCCATGGGTTGCGGTTCAAGCGATTGCTTAATTGGCGATAGTTATACATCTCCGCCCAGCAGTCGCGTCCCCATTCGCAGCCTGCCATGTTGACGAGGAAGTCCCGGTCTTTCTCATTGTAGTGGATCTTTGGGTCGTCTCCTTTTTCTCCACAGGCGCCTGGCGGAAAGCTGTTAACCTTGCGCTGGTGTATGAAGGCCACATGTGGACGGATCCATGGCTGATTGGTATACATGTACTCCAAGGCGTCCTGTTCCTTGTGTTCCCACTCCATGTGTTTCTGCTCGTAGCCAACAGGATCCCACCAGATATCCAATAGACGATCAGTCCAGACGCTCCGTCTTACGAAGAAAGAGCCAAGATTGAAGCCGCCACAATCCTGTGGTACGATTAAATTTATCGAATTGTGTTTGCCATCGCCCTTCGCGGAGCGAGTTTCAGGGTCCAAATACGCGTCAGTCGGTGGATGGGAAATGTTCAAGGGGTTGTAAACGTTTATGTCTCGGTAGGTGATGTCATCGAGTTGCTTGAAAATATGGCTTTGGAGAGAGTAGGATGGTTCCATGATGAAGGTATTGGTATCTAGCCACCAGAACCTGATTATTCGTTAGCAATTGCAAGACTTCGCAAGGTGAAGTGCTTTCCATTCGGCGTGTGGATATTTTCGCATGGCGTTGCGAATCGTATCCACCTTCTCCCAACTCTCTCTCCATTCATGGGCGTATCGCTTCTTTGTACTCATGTCGACAATCTCCAAATCGTAGCCCCAGTTTTGCGTGTACTTCTTTTTATTTTTAACACTATCCCTCTCAATGGCCCATTCACGAGGGCCTTTCCACTCCATTACACCTCCTCCCTGGTTTGCGGCGAGGATCAAGACGAATTTGCTGCCGCCCCCGAGTAGGGATGATCGTCGCCATATCCGGTGGAGAGCTGTTGCTGTTAGCTCGAGTCAAATGCCATGACAAAAAGCCCAACATACGGGTCACATAGAACAATGTTATGGATAGTACCAAGAACAGCAGCAATCCAACAGACTTCCTCAGGCGCCAAAGCGTCCGCCCAATCCTGTTCAGATATTGTACAGCCTTATTTCCCTGATATCGGCCCCGGCCCAGCTTCTCCTTCTCGGCATAGCTAAAAGGTAAACTGGTTGATATCCTTCGAAAATGCCTTCCAAAGAAGCCCTGGTTCCGGGGGTTGAAGGCAGTGTATCCCTTCACCTCTGCGCTCTTGGCTTGGGCAGAGGCCCAGGTGACACTGTGCGCTCCTCCGTTTGCGTATCCCCGCAAGGGACTCGTTCGTCCGCCAGTGTCATACGGGGTGTTGAGACCCGGACTCGACCAGCCCCCAGGATGCGGCGAGGGTGATCTTGACGACATGTCGAAATTCGCCGGTGTGCCGGGAATTACAGGTAGGGTGCCCCCTGGACTCCCGCCTGAGACGCCAGTTGTGGTTCCAAGCCTGCCTCGCGCCTCGGAGCCGTCGTGGAGGTTGAGACTCGGGGGATGCTTTGCGGCCGATGAGCGCCTCCGACGTTGGCCAGCAGTGGCGGTGGAAGAGGACGGAGAAGCCAGGATGACTGAGGTCTAATTGACCTGCAGAGGAATGCGCCGACTCGCTCGTGTCAAGGGCGTGGCTTGTGACAATCAAAATGGCTGGTTAAGGCTGGAGCCAAGCAGTCGAGGAAGCGAACTGCGCAAGGAAATTTGGCCGTGACACGGCAGCAGCAAAGCGTTGCGGCGACGATGCGAACAGCTGGCTGCAAACTGCGAATCTCGTGTGGAGGGAGCGATGGTTGCACTCGCACTCGAGGCGGAAAGGAGCGTTGAGCTCTGTGGGCGGTGGAACGTCCAGATATTGGGAGGCGCTCGCGCTCACCGCGTTCGTCGAAAGGGCTCCAGGGCGTGCAAGAGGCGACGGGCAGCGCTTTCGAGGGAGAGCCAAAAGGAAAGGAAAACAGGGCCTCAGGGAGAGCAATTTTCGATGAAATTACTGTGTCCGGCGTACCTATCTGGGCTTCACCCTTCGAACGCTTGGACGCTTGGCATCTGGGGGTTCACGATTAGCAAAATTAGATAATGCCTTCCGAGGGCTAATCAGTTCCAACGCGGTTATAGATAAAAGCAAACTCGGGCACATACAGCTGCTTAGAGCGGTATGCGAGATGTTGACCTGCTGCGGATCCATCAGGCCATCAGGCTCGTCGGCGAAATCGGCACCTCGCAGGCCATTCATCGTGTCGATGGAAGTGATATAAATAGCCTTGTAACTTTTTGGCCACCTCTAAAGTAACCGTACTAAATCGCCTCTCCAAACACGGACAGAGGCGAAGAAACGCTCTCACAATTGCCATGTGACTGCGTGACTTGCCCTTGATGAGTACGCGCTAGGTTTGACCACAGATACTGTAACCTTCTGTCCCCAGGATGCTTTCTCAAACCCGCCCGTAACAGTGAACATTGCAGCCCCTGGAGTTGAAGGACCAGGACGTCTCCACCAGAAGGTTGCAGGGCGTCTATCCGTCTTCACTCTCCACGGCGCTATTGCACGTCTTATGCGTAAGGGAATTGGGGCGAACATTCATCTCAACACCAGAGCATTCTCTCATGCTTCATTGACAATTTGCACTGCTTGCAGACCAGTGTCGTCTTCAAGCGGTTTCGTCCCGCCAAGAAATGGCCAGGACGGGAGGGTGAGGCTGCAAAGGGATGCCAAGGACGGGAGATGAGCCGTTAAGCGCCCCAAAGGAAGCCGTCCGACCTCAATCCATCCATCGGATGGCCTTCTAACAAGCCAGCTCGCCATTCGCAGCGTCTCGGGTCTCGTCTTGTGTTCTGCACTTCCACGCCCCGCGAATCCCGGGCGGCTGCGAGCCTCAAGTCTGCAAGATGGCGCCCGCTAAGACTCAGATCCACTTTGCTGGGAGCTTCGTTCTCCAATCATCTCACTTTCTCCCCAGCTTCAACTTTGCTTCGTCCATCGAACTTTCGCTCAAGTCAACGTGACCAGTGCTTCTAGCAAATCACAAGTAGAGTGCAAGGACTGGTACAAGGGGCTATAGAGCGTGTAGTATGGGCCGGAGGCAGCATGGTTACGTTAAGCAATCCAAAGATCTGGAGTTGCATGCTCGCCCGCTTGCAGCGACTTTCATTCTTCCTCTTCCCTCTCTTCCTGAATTCTTCACTTTCTTAGTCTTCGCTGCAGCTCTTTTCATTGTTCCTACTGTCCCTATTGTTGACATTATCCCTAACGTTCTTCTACTTCGTTCGGCTTCCTTGTCTTTTCAGCGACTCCCAACAATAGAACAATACCACCACTACAAACGATCGTTGTTTCAGCCACCCTCGAGGTTTCCTTTCGTTTCCGTACCACCAGAACAATGCACTTTCCATGAATTACTCTTCTCACTAAAGCTATCCCCCCTCCTAAATCCTCATAGACTCCTCGCTTCAGCCTTCTGACCTCCCCCCCCCGGCACACGACATATCTCATTAGCATTCATCCCAGCATGAATCCTGAACAACCTCGTCCTTTTGGACAAAAGCCTCCCCCAAGGGTGTTACGAAGAACGAATACAAGGGTTAATAAGTTTCCTGTCGACACAGATTTTGAAAAGGAGGAGCGGCCGTTGGGAAATGCGCCGGATAGCGACCTTAGCGCTCGCAATCACCAAGCGCAGACGCAGTCCAATAGCACATTCACGCTACCTAGCACCGTTTACGAACTACCCGAGTGGGAAAGTGACGCTCAGATAGCCGCACGAAAAGCTATGGCGAAACGCAATTCGCGATCATTTGCGGCAAGGACGTCAAGAACAAGGTCACGGAAGAAAGAGAAGCTTGGGATTACGCTTGATACTAGTTTCACAAGGCATAAGGGAAACGTACCGCGACAGCTATACCCACTCGAGAACGAGTTGAAGGGCAGTGGGACGAGTACGAAGCCAAACTGGTTTGGACTTGGCAGATCAGGGACGAGAGCGAAGGGTCTGGGAATAACAAAAGGAACTCCTCAACCCGAAATCCGTAAAGGAGAGTCAGCACAGCCTAAGATCACAACGTACAGAGTCAATGCCAACGCATTCAGCGTCGTTGAAATCGAAAGTCAGGCAAACAGAGATCCCAAGACTGCGGATTCCTTGACACCAGGCAGCAGAACCTGGCTTGAGATTTCTCCATCAGATCGTCCAATTCCTATTGGCATCTCAGTGCCATCCGATAGTGTGCCTGACTTCAGTCCGTACCAGGAAACGCGGAAACGGTCAGACAGTGACGCCACTCTGGTTACACCGAGCATCATCATTACACCCGCCGCTGCCATGAAATCTGTTTGGTCCCCCGACACTGCCTCAGATTACACTCCTGCACGTTCATCTAGCATATATTCGCGCACAACTTTCAATTTTGTCCCGAACACATCAAACGTTCCCCCGGTTCCTGCACTCCCCTCCGATATCTTGAAACCATCGGTTGATAGGCCAAAGTCTGAGTTCCCCCTGGATACGACCGAAGAGTACCCTTCTCATATTAGAAAGAGCACCCTCGACTCTGCTATAACAGCCTTTGAAGAAGACGATGAGATCAGGCGAAAAGAACGCATCACATCGACGGGAACCCTTTTCGAAGAAGATGAGACCCCCTTGTGTGGCCGCGGTTCTCAACCCGGTATTTTGTCGCTTGACACGGCCGTTACTCCCACTCCGCGAAGATCCCATGGCTGGTGGAATGTGATCACAACTCCATTCGAGTTCTCGCGAACCAACTCAACCTGGACTCAGAATGGCCGTAATGCGGAAAGAACACCTGACGTGCCAATGGTTCCCCAACGTTTCGACTTCAACCCAGGTTCCCCATCCACACCGTCCACTTACATCTGGTCAGCGACTGATATGAGCGCATCGGCTCGGGGTGATTCCCCTCAAGTCTCTACCTCGCTTCATACTGCTATTACTAGCCTTCCGGAAAGCGATCCCAGTCTTGTCGCTCAAATACCTCAGGGCCCTAATGACAAGTTCTCGCCGCCAGCTGACGACCAAACAATTGCGAACGACGGTCAAGATCGGTCTCTCGACAGACGTGGTCCAGCCGTACTGAATGAGATACCTCAGACCTGCGAAACGCCATCAACAAATGAGAGGAACATAACATCCCCACTTTCTGCAATGTCTGCATCACCTGTGCTGAGCACTGCTGCTATCGGGACAGTGTTAAATGCTCGCCAGGTTTATGATCAACCACGACAAATGAATATCAATATCGAACTCCAGGACAGACCACCGACTGCAAACGTTCAGGTTTTTTCCGCCACCTCACCGCCAGCAGTGCAGTTACTCAATGGATCTGCTTCAGCTTCTCGGCCGGCTAGAGGAGAGCCACCTATTTATGCGCCAAATACTGAGCAAAAGGACCCACCTCAATCTCTACCTGAATTTGCTCCACCACCCACTTCAGTGCAGAATCCATCTCAAAGGTCTCAACTTCAATTTCCATTTAAATTTACCCCACCACCCACTTCGACTCAGAGTCCATCGCAAAAGTCTCAACCTCACTCTCCACCTGAGTTTGCTCCACCACCCACTTCGGCGCAGAATATATCGCAGTCTGTTTACGATCAGGACAGTCGGGCAAGTTCGCCAGAACTAAAGGGCCAAAAACCGCATCGTAAGGTCGGTAAAATGGACTGGCTCCAGCTCTGTAGACGAAAGAAGCAGAAGAACAATAAGCAGGAGAACAAAAAGCGTCGAAGCCGAAGGTGTTGTTGTCTGGCAGCCTGCTGCAGCATTCTCATCCTAGTTCTCCTAGCCATTATCATCCCCGTCGTCGTCGTTCTTTCCCGAAGACATCACCACGATTCGAAGAGCAAAGACCCCCCATCCCAATGGCTGAATTTGACCGGCTACCCTCCCATCCCTACCGGAGTTTCGACCATATCCCAACCTGAAGCCGTAGAGGAGGAGTCTGGCTGCGTCCTTGGCCCGGCAACCGTATGGAGCTGTGCAGTGCCCAAGGAAGAACAAGCATTAATTAGTCCAAATAAACCTGATCAACCCAACTTCAAGCTCGATATTTCTTTTGAAAATGGGACCGTATCAGACCCGTCCAAGACACGACCAAGCAGAAGAGCTCCGAATGCAGTTTCTGTTGGTTCTTTTATTCGGTCGCGTTTTCTGCGGATTCGTGACGCTCCGTCAGCATCTCCAGCACCTCCCAGTGTTGACGACATGAAATTTCTGGGCAAAACGACAGATGACAATGCTGCTCCCTTTGAAGGAGAAGAGACGCCATTTTTTATTACGTTCATAAATCCCAGGGGCGCTCCATCACGCCTTTCCAAACGCGCGGACAACCCCAGTAACGTCACAGCCGGTAACCTCACAGCTAATATTCCTGATCCAGTAGTTAATCCTGATGGGACTGCGGGGCCTGCAAATTTGCTTCCCCTCCCTTCAGCTCAACCACTTCGACTCTATAATCGTGGGAAAGACAATGAGCACTACGGTTTCTACGTCTACTATGATCGAGCTATCTTCCTGAAAAGCATAGCGCAAAATGGTACGAAAGGAGGAAATCCTGCGGACGTAGATGGGGGCAGCCCATTTAGTGCTGCCGCCTTGCGATGCACATGGTCACAGACACGCTTCCTAGTCCAGATATGGACTCGGAGCCAAGCAACGAAACCTTTACTAGGTACTTCATCAGCTTCCGGCCAAAACACAAGCTTGAAACGCCCGGGGACTTTCCCCTATCCCGTTACAGTGACGTTAGATCGTCACGGTGGATCCTCTTCGATTAAAACTGTCTACTGTTATAAGATGGAGAAGGACGGGACGATAAAGAACGATAGGTCGCAAGTATCATTTTCCCTCGAGAACCGCAGTTTCGGAGGCACTCTAGTGAATCCAGCTTCTGGGCCGACTACGAACACGACTGGAACCATTGACGGCGGGCATGGAGGTTGCCGGTGCCAGTGGCAGAACTGGCTTGCTGAATGATCAAGATATGAAACCATTCCAAATTTCTATCACTTTTGTATACCATTTGCCATCGTCTCTTTTTTTCATTGTTTCATGCCCCATTTTGCATTCTGGCGGAGTCATGCATAGCATTTGATAATCAAAGCGATATCTTTTTCGAAAGTCTACATCCAATGTACTTCCCAAACTGCAAAGGAGCGCTCTACTCTTCAATGCATCATTATCACTATTTCTTTTTCACTCATGTTAGCATGACCAAAAAAACATTTCTTGGACAAAAGGCCACTGGTTGGATTCTTGTACCTATACTTTACCACCACCTTTTGATAGCCTATCACTAATGCCCACCTGAATAATATCTTACTCAACACCTTCCGCTTTTACGGTCAAAGTCACAACGCCGTTCTGTGACAAGTGTCTCACCATCGTAGAGTGATGCTCCCGGATATTGTCCCTTTTGGAGTTGGTTCTGAGAGATTTTTTTCGATATTCGTCATCTTTCTCCTTCAGGCCAACAGCATCTCCTCTTACGATATCAGGTACTCCTGTCATCAGGTCGATGTTTCGTCGCGTTGTGGCCGTGGGGGATGTTGCGACCTTGACAGGTGATCTTGTTGCGGACCTCCCAAGGTCGACATGGCACATCGATGTTCTTCATCCCCACCAAGGGTTTGAGTTCATTAGGGCCCCCAGACATCTTACTCTGGGCGACAAGAATCATGTTCAAATTACAATTCTTCTCATGGAAGCATATCCTATCGATTTTGCTACTATTTCAACGGCTCGACTGTATTTGAAGATTGGCAAGGAATAAATCGTTGCAATGCCTGGTAGTGGATATCCGGCGCGAAGGTGAGGCTCTTTGCAGGAAGTATCATCGCCGGACCGCCGACCTTAGCGGCTCACTAGCAAAGACTGCTCGACCAGGCTTGTTGGCCAGACGCTGGACCCCGTGCTCCGATTCTGGATTTTAATTGGTTGCTTTTGACTTCATCTATGGCTCACTGGAGCAGCCTCTCTTTCCCTTTCCACGCCGGAAGCAGCAAACAGCGAGGTTGCAACAAACTCGCCTCGGTTTCGGTTTTCATAACTCATCCCACGTCCCGGAAGAGGCTTCGGCAAGCCCTTGCTTGCATTGCTTGGAAGGCTTGTCCTAGCCTTCAGAAAGGGATCGCTTGGCCTGCGTCAACTGCCCGACGCTGGCGATGAGATTGAATGCCTTCGAAAGTCTGCGGGAAGTTTTTGTAGGGAATTGGTGTACGTAAAAGTTTGCTTGAATACTTGAAGGACAGAGCACGTTTTAAATGCTTTAGTTTCCCGGGCCTCTCTGTTCCAACGGTGGGGAGTTATAGCCTACCAAGGCTCGAATGATGGTCGCGTGCTCACTTGCCTTTCCTAGCATATTGATAGGTAACGTACCCTGCTCCACTTCCACGTCTTCCGACGGTACCGACACCGTTTCCACTTAGAATTTTCTCTTCCGCCCTAATTCCACCATATAAGACCATCCTCCGCCTTTGACGCTTTTCTGTAGTGTTTGAGCATTCTCTCGTTGCCTTTTTGTCGCTGCCGTTTTACTCTAAACTCGTTCCCCACCCCCGGCACTCACCATCAGATATCCCACGACCCTCAAGGGTCCAGTTTATCAGCCATTCACACGGTGGAGAGCCTTGTGGTGCTCAGACTTCGGATCTAGCGGACTTCCCATGTGCCTTCCAAACATCTGTCAACTCGAGTCCATCAGTACTGTTGGCCATTCAGAAAGCTAGTCTAGGAAACGTGTTCTGCCACCTCCATCCTGTTGGCAAATTCCTCGAAGAAATAGGCTGTTTTTCAAAACCTCCTTTTCAACACAACGTCATCGCTGACCGTTGCCTCGGAACCAGCATCAGCCTTCCCGGCCTTGGTTTTAGGAAGAAGCTTTCATCTAAAAGCCTAAGGTATAAAAAAAGACAGATCCCATTCAACCTCGCACCAACGCAGACTTGCCTTGTCGAAAGTTCTTTTCCATATTCCAAAATGGAGCAATCTCTCCAAGACTATGGCCCTGCTGCTCCTCATGGCCCGAACGTGGACGGACACCATGTCGTCACAGAGGACATCCGTGCCGACATGAGTCCAAATGAGGCCAGTGTCTTCCACAGCATCCTTCACCCCGATGACATCTATGATGAAGACGGAACCTATTGGGCAGACTTACCAATAGGGAAACGCATCAAATTCGTTAGCAAGGTTGACGCTCAAGTGGCAAGCACTGAGACAAAATCGATATTATCCATGTTCAAGCATGATCCTCTCAGCCCCGTCGGCTTTTATCTCAAGAATATGGTTGTCCCAGGAGCCGGCCTCTTGCTTGAAGGGTTAGTGAACAACCCCATATCTCAATCTGCCCTTATCTAACACTAGATAGGTACGTTTTGTTCTCAATTGGCAACGTTAGACCACTGCTTCAATCTGCTTTCCCAAGTTGCTGGAAGACCTTTGACACTTGCAATGAGACTTGGACGCAAGCTATTGACTATCTCGAGATCTGCGGTATTATCGTCGGTAAGTCATTCTCATATGACCTCGCATGCTGTACTGCTTCCTAATCATCCACTAGGTCAAATCCTCGTCGGTATTCTTGGGGATTGGATGGGACGACGATGGGGTCTAATACAAGATGCTGTCATCATGTTCATTGGCCTGCTTATGCTCACTGCTGCGTGGGGGGTCACCCAGAACGGCTGGGTAATCTGCTATGTCTGGTCGCTTTTCTTCTATGGCATCGGCGTAGGCGGCGAGTACCCTATGACTGCAACCTCAGGCATGGAAAACGCTGTCGGCTCTGGCAAGATTTCTACCAAAGAAGATCGTCTCCACCGTGGCAGAAAAGTTACAAGCGCATTCTTGATGCAGGGCTGGGGCCAATTCACCAACCAGGTTATTCTGATCCTTCTACTCCTCATATTCCACCACGGGTCTGGAAACCCGCCCTACTCGAAGGTTGCCGCCCAATGGACATACCGCATTAGCTTTGCCATTCCAGCAGTCGGAACTCTCTGGCTCGTCTACTTCCGTTATTACAAGATGCACTCGGCTAGCAAGCAGCTGATGATCTCCAAGAAGAAGTCTAAGGTCACAGGCTACGACACTAAATCACTCAAGCTTACAGTTACACACTTTGGCCCGCGATTGCTCGCAACCGCAGGTGCATGGTTTGCCAATGATGTCTTCTTCTATGGCAACAAGCTTTTCCAAAACCAGTTTATCGCAGTCCTTACCCCAAACAATAAGTCAGTTATGGTCGGATGGCTCTACAATCTCGTTAATGTCGGAGTCAGTCTGGTCGGATATTATCTCGCGTCATTCTTGATCGACAACAAACTCTGTGAGCCTAGTCACCCGAATATATGAATGTGTGATCTAACTGGTTCCATAGATGGGAGAAAGTGGATGATGATCGTGGGATTTATGGCCGACTTCATTCTCTTTGTCGTGCCGGCCTTTTCATACGATTTTTTTACACGGCCCGAGCACATCCATGCTTTCCAGGCCATGTACTTCCTCTCGTCCTTTTTCAATCAGTTTGGGCCAAACAGCGTCACGTTCCTAGTAGCCGCTGAGGTATTCCCGACGCCAATCCGAGCCACCGCTCACGGGTTCTCAGCGGCTGTTGGCAAGCTTGGTGCACTGCTTGCTGCGGTACTGTACAACTACATCAACACCCAGCAGAAGTTTTACGTTGTTCCCTGGTTTGGTCTCGCCGGCGCTCTTCTGACCTGGCTGTTTCTGCCTGACACCACGGGGCTCGATTTGAAAGAGCAGGAGAGAAGGTGGTCCTACATCCGTGCTGGGCGCGAACAAGATTACCACGGCATTGCTATCCATCCCAAGCACTTATCGCTATGGGAGCGCATCCGGGGTGTTGGGAAGAATTATGATGCGAAACTAGACTACCAATCCAGGATCGAGGAAATGCGGAAGGAGTGGGTGGAGACCCAGGAAAGAGAAGTCGCGGAGAAGACGGAAGCTTTGGACGACGACGACAGCGAGGGCTACACAGGACACGTGCACAACTACTTCTCACGAACGTCGAAACTTCCGCCCGCAACGCTCATGTTGAACGAAAAGACAATGCCAGATGGCGACAGCAGCAGCAACGAAAAGGATTCATAAAAGAAGTGAGGGGTAGGGGTTGCTAGAGCAGCACTGCGGGAGCGTGCTTGGTGGTTCATGAGCGAGGTGCATGCGCAAGTTTCACGTCACCCGATGTTTTAGTCTTAAGGGCGAGGAAAAAAAGCCCATGACAACCAAGTAAAAGTGTACATGTCGAGGAGAGTCGGAAGACCTAACTGATTTGAACTTGCATGCCGTTTTGTGCCGTGCTTTTGGTATCACTTCGACACTGGATGGACAATGTATGGAGCTGGGAGAGCAATCTGTACTTATATGCGGCACAGAACAATGAAACTCTTAGTCCCAACATGCTTATTTCCGCTTTCTATGAACAGTCAAGGCAGAGTTTGAGAGATGCAACTGGCCACTGGGGGGGGAGGGGAGCAGGTCCGAAGCAATTCCGGTCACTCTAGTGGGCGAGGCTCACCTAGCGAGCAAATGACGGAGCAGGAAAAGTGTGAGGGTGGCGTTGGCATCGCAATGTCCGATCTCCATGCAGATCTCGAACAGCCGTGCAGGTGACTGGCGGCGGTGATTGGCGAGACCCCCTGGCAATGAGGCGCCGCGCTCGTCCCGACCTGACGTCGATAGTGGCGCGATAAGGTAGTAGCCGAGAGCAATCAAAGTGAATTGCGTGGCACAGAAATGCTCCTGCCCCGCTTGTGCTGGGAGGCCGCGGCGAAGGCGAGCCACGCAACTGAGTGCAATTGAGCAGGAAAGATGTCACAACTGCTCCCGTTGACATTCATATGAAGGCGACGAAAGAAAGGAAATGGGGGTGAGCGGGCGCGGTCGATGCAGGCCGGCCGTTGGCAGCAAACCAAGGAAATCACCAGCTTCCTTGGCCAGAGGCTTGTTGCTAGGGCCGCTGCCTTGTTTCAAACCAGCGCACGGACTACAGCCTGGTGGTGGTGCAGGCGCAACCCTGAACGCGCGATGGTTCCGGGCCACTTTGTCTTGCAATCAATAAATACTCCACTGTGCTGCATGCCTGCCTCTTTCCTTCCACCCACCACCCAATTCCAACCCTTCCTCCACCAAAGTCTCTCGCTCACCCTCCTGGTCTGTCTCTCGCTCCATCTCTTCTGTCCCATCCTCACTCGAGCTCATCTCTACCCACCGACTACACACCCATACCAACACATCTCTCCACCCCAATTGCCAACATGCGTACCACATTCACCCTTGCTGTCCTGGCTGCAGCTATTGGCGTCAACGCCGTTCCCCAGTACTCGGTCGCAACCATCAGCCAGATCTCCGACGGCCAGATTCAGGCTCCCCCAGCAACTGTTCTTCCCCCCGGCACTGCTCCAGCTTCAACTGCCGCTCCTGTTACTTCAGGCTATGTCAGCATCAGCGTAGTTGGTAAGGTGGCCCTCATCTGATGTTTAAATCAGTCAATTGACATTCAGCCAGTTCCCCCAGTCGTTAGCTCCGGTGCTCCAGTCACCACTGTTGCTCCATCGGTCCCAGCAGTGCCCTCCGCCCCAGCTGGCAACGCGTCCGTCCCCGTTAGCGTTCCCTCCTTCCCCAACACCACCGCTATCGTCACTACTGCCCCAGCTTCTTCTGGTGGTGCTGGTGCGACCTCTGGCGCTGGCACCACCCCCACTGGTAGTGCTAGTGCTCCTGCTGGAACTGGTGCTGCTGCTGTCAACATGATCTCATTCGGCTCCCTCGCCTTGGCTCTTGCTGGCTTCGTCCTTGTTTAGTCGCAGGGCTGCCTGTTACTTCAAGGTTTCGCTCACATCTTCACCATCCAACATCTTTTGGCCTCGTCATGTACCCTTCGGTTTTTGACAGCAAACGGCGAGCGAGTATCCAGATCGTTTATCCAGAGGAGGAGGGTCTTAAGTGGTCACACACATCTGCTCTCTTCTTTCTTCTTTCTTCGACAGACATCTTCTTGCATGGTCGGCCCCTGTATCAAAAGCTGGAGTAATATGGTTGGCATGGAGATTACGTGGTAATGGTGATGTCTCTTTCCTTTCATCCAGGGTCCATAAGGCAAGGACCACGGATTCGGTTCGTCGACTGCATGCACCCACTAATGTCTCATCCACGATTATGCCTTGACTCAACAGCATGACAGTCTTGTATACATAGATAGCTCGGCCATAAGAACTCCAACGTCATCGGCACGGCCAAGACCTGCCAGAGAGACTTGTTTCTCCCATTGATGTTGCGCCTGCATGCATCTGCCAATGCGAACGTTTGATTCCCCTCTGTCGTGCCTACTTATCCACAGAAGTAAAACACGCGCCATTTGGCAATCGAGGACCTAGAGGTTCGTGCGCACCGAACCTGCCCACTCACACAATCTCTACGACGCCACATGCATACAAACTTCACAATACGTTTCACCCTCAGCCAAAAAGCACGCTGCAAATTCTGAATGGTCACGCAATGTCTCCTAGCCGTGGCCAAGATTGTCCTATCCCTCTCACAACAAGCTGGTAAAGGAAATCGTCCCCAGAGCTCGCAATATCGAGATTTCAGGAGAGCATTAGATGCATTCAGTGATGGTACACACTGCCCCGGTCAGATTGTTTGGCGCTCTAGGTGACAGCTCAGCTCCACCGGTTCTCCACCACCGGCTCCCAACGCTTCTCAGCTCTCGCGAGGTGCAATTGGAGACCCCGCTGCAGACAACGAAGTAAAACGGTGGTGGCGAGTCGTTGTGTCCGAATGCAGGAGCATGCATACAAGCGCGAAGCGGTGCTTTTCCATGGCGTGGAAGAAGCAGAGAGGACGCTGGCATTTATTTGTCGTCTGAAAATTCCTTTTGCTCCCTAGATATTAGTGTGATCCTCTTCCCCTGCGTATCCTGTATCGCTCTCTGCCGCCTTGCAGTCTCGCTGTGGAGTCTGGACGCAGCAGCAGATGGGGAGAGCCGCTGCAGCTGCCCAACCAATGGAGACATTGTGGGACAACGACATTTTCGTGCTGTGTTGCTAAACATGGAAAGTCTAGACACGACTCAACAATCTTCTGTGCCGCAGTCCATTGTTACATGTATTGTCAGTTCTTCTGAAAGGCCCGCTCGTTCCATAACTGACCGCATAATCAGTTGGGACGCTGCAGGTAGCCAGATATTGGGGGGCCTTAGGCTAGTCTGTCTTACTCTCTAACATTCCATTTGTCCCTTTCGTTCGTGCTCAGTGTCTTGCAAGGCGTTGTCTTGCATAATGCGCCGTTAGCGCTTGTGCGAAAGATTCACACAAGTTTTTGATGCGAAATGAGCTGTTTGGACACATCATTATTCGTGGCTTGCGTACGCGCCTATCAAATTGAGAATCAGCAAAATCGTCGGGATGTTGAACCGCTGAATCGCTGATAGTTATCAAGGTTTTCTAGTCATGAAAGGAGCCGCGCTATTATAAGCTCTTCGACGGAATGATGACTATTTTCACTAGAGAAATATTACTCTTGACGCCAAAGGACGGAGTACCTACTCTAAGGCTGGAGGTTGGAACAAGCTTTGATACGAGGAGTGGATCGTGTGATGAATATTGCTCGGAACGGCATATCATCAGGCCCCTTATTATGGTTGTGGGATGACGATGGCGAAATATTGTACATCCTAGACCTTACCCAGTGGGAGAAAGTAATCTTATATTGAATGAGTATATATCTGGCACAATTTGAGGGCTTCCCAACTAACACAGGACACACGGCGCGGGGTTTTAGTAGATGTTGGTTTGTCAACTTCCATCTCAACTCGTCCCCAAAGGAAATTGTTCATGAGCGGGTGACTAGAGGTTAAAGCTGCACTTTCGCGGTTTAAAATGCCTGGTTACGCCCTCATGGTACTATTCCCTCCTGTTTTGGTCCTACTATGGTCGCAGGGGTAAGTCCCGTTAGTAGCTTAACAAATATAATGAGCTCAACGTATCGCTTAAGTTTCTACTCCTTACAGTGGTTGGTTGGATTGGCAGGCCATCGTTTTCATCCCGTGGATATAGAATAAACGCACTACTTTGCCCCTGCGACCATAGCATGTTCCTCACTGCATGAGTACACATCCTAGAGAGGTTAGCGCTACACGTGCCCTCACATGTGAAAGTTTCCAAGGTTCTTGAAATGCTACTTAAGAGGCGACAGTTCCTCAAATGAAGGGTCTGCTCGGGCTCTCTAGGAGATTGCTCGCATACAAGGGACAGTTTCTTGCTAGTATCCATGCTGTTTATTAGCACCAAGCTATGCTACACTGAGGTCTCAAAGCGCCACTACGCCTTTGCGTGCTTCTTCTCCTAAAATTACCTCACAACTTTCCTAGCTCTGTTATTGCGATTGGTTTTGCCTCCTGTCCATGCGTCCATGTTTGCACACAAGCTTTCTCACAATGCAGACGATGCTCTCCAACGCCACAAAGCCGGGGTGGCAGTTTCTTCCACATGAATTTAAGCCAGGGATCTTCATCCGCGTATCCCGCTTCGGCAGCAAAACACCACACCTGGATATGCACCTGCATCACGTCAAACCCCTCTCTTTATATTCCTACATTCTGCAATATCTACCTTTCAATCCTCCCTCCGGTTCTTCGACCACTTACTAGGTTGATGAACACGGATGGCCCTGGAGGCAGCAGAGGCTGATATTCTCGGCCAATTTCTCCAAGACTTTCCGCCTGCTTTCATTTCTCTTTTCATATCTGGCACTCTGTTGTATTTTTGTCTATATGCTTTTGCGAGAGGGCGGAAGATAGTCTTTGTTGGCTTATCAGTTCCTACATTATTGCTATTCTGGGCGAGTACGTATGTGACGGTCAGATGTGCGGCTTTCAGGGCGTTGTTGAATTTTGCAGGTATGGAATTGCTTTTCTTGATCTTGTTGCTTTTTGTGAATCGTCTTCTCTTCTAAGACATTTCTTTCAATAGTTATTCTTCATACAGGATTTCTCTCTGCACATGCGGGGAGATAAGAAGCCTCACTGTTTGGTTAAACATGAGAATCGTAACTGGCATAGCGCATAGAAGTTCTTCGCTACCGGCTTCTTCATCGTGCCTATGTCTCCTCTTTTTGTTCCCTTTGTTGCTTGGATTGGATTCCCAAAATTTCGGATACGATAGTCGGGAAATGAAGAGACTAACGATGCACTTCCCGACTTCTTGTCCCCAATCTGGAACAGCAGTGTCCCTTACTTGTCAACACCAATACACAACATTGCATTCTTGACGTAGTCCACGGCTTTACCTTCCTATACATGGCAAGCCAAGCTAATAACGAACAGTCGCTGTAGCCACAATGAAGCTCCTCGACCTCCACATCCTCTCCCTCACTAACTCGATCCCACAATATACCTCCGGCCTTCCTCTCCGGCCCTCCCATCATGCCCTCATCCTCCTCACCGAACTTCGCTACGAATCCTTCACGCCAAACCCAATCCGCCATGCACCACCACCAAAACTCCCATTCCCTAACTCACTGCAGAACCGCCAACATTTCTACTCCGAGCACGTCCAGCTACTCCTCCATCTAGCGGGCTTCATCATTCTCCAATCTGGGCCTCAATATCCTCCCATCAAAGCGCTTGGCATCCTCTTCACCATCTACATAATCTGGACTTCGATCCAACTCCTAGTCCGCTATCGCACTTCGCCGCCATTATTTGGCCCGATCTACCTCGCCCACAGCCTAGCGACTTTTTGGACAGAGACATGGCATAATGCTTTCGCTTCGCCGTGCCTCAGTCTTGCATACAAGCCTACACTCTCCCTCCTCACCGCTCTCCGCTTCCCTCGCTCCTTTTCAAGGGCCGCCGCCGTGGTAGCCTCGTTCTCGCTGATGGCAGCTTTCCATGTATATGCACTGGCTCCGTTGTTGAGTGACGAGGGAAGGAAACGGGTTGCCTTGTTCTTTGTTGGGAACGGCGTGCTTACAGTACTAGAGGTTGCCGTTTGGGGGAAGAGGAGGCACTGGGTGAGAGCGGTGGTGGCTTGGGTTGTGGAACTAGTGCTTGCCAGCTGGGTGGTGCAAGCTGTGGAGGTGGCGGATGGGGTGTTGGAGGCAGATTGGCGGGGCCTTTGTAAGGGTAGAACAGGTGGATGAGCAAGTGAAGTGAAAAGGTTATTTAATATACTACAAATAAAATGGCTCTTTTTGTGTAGTTGGCTTCCTCAAGGTTATCCATGTCGTGCAAGCGGGAATTGATCAAATAAATAGCTGGTACGAACTTCACTGGCTCTGGAAGGGGTTTCCTCTAAGGTGCTGACCCTTTCGCAACATTCAGCCAGAACCACTATACAGCATGGAGCGGAGGGGTCCATGCGAACACTTGGAATCTTCGAGGAGGATTCGCCACATACTCGTGAAGCCGACAACTCTATCTTTCTTTCGGCCTTTATATCCTCGCCACCTTATCAAATGTAAACAACCCTCTTCCCTTCCTTTCTGAATCTTGCCTCACCCAACCCGACTTTCCCACAATCTCTCCCGCCCCGCTTGCCATCTGTCGTAATGTGGCCTCATCGCCATGGTTCGCCAGAAACCTCTTTCCGTTGCATTTCAGCCGGCCGATGATATATCCTCGCAGAGGTGAGCCATCGCGGTTGAATTCCGCGGTATACGTCTATTCATTGTCAGCAATCGACATGCTTCTGTACCCTCAAACAGCTTCAAAATCAGCTCAACGTACCTCAACAACAGCTTCCCCCACCGCTTTCTCACCCACCACTAACTCCGGACTCGCCACATCCACAATCTCCTTCGGTAACGGGTTCTCCTCTGGATATACACCGTCTCTTCTCGGAGTCTTAGACAACACAACAACATGCTGATAACTCAAGACCCCTCCATTCGCAAGCACCAACCCCTTCCCACCTTTCCCATCTCTCAACTGCCTTGTCATCTCTGTCAAAGCATGCATACTATAGTTATTACCCGCACCCCCGAAACTCGTCAAACCGCCTAACAACGTAAGCTTCTCACCATCGCTCGGCGAAAGGCCTAGGTGGTGCGCTGCTAGTTTCGGGACGATGGGGAAACAGGAGTAAAAGTCGTAAAGATCGATCTCGGATTTTGTGGTACCGGAGACGCGGAGTGCGGCGTCGATGGAGTGGGATATACTGGGTGAGGAATGGAAATTAGGGCGGTTCCAGAAGTCGTCTGAGTCTTTGGTTCCCGCTCCGCCGAGAGGATATATCCATTTTGATTCGGGGATGGAGAGGCTGCGGGCGTGTGAAACGGACGTGAGGATACAGGCACTGGCGAGGTTGACTGTGTTGAATGCGTTCATGAGGAGAGGGTCTGTGGATTCGTATTAGCAAGGCAGCCTAATTTGTAGCAAAAGGGGAGTCGAAGTAGAAAGGGATGTTATACAAGGAAAACAAATCATTCTATTCTTCTTCGTCACAGTCCCAATACTCTTCCCATCATCCCTCTTACCAGAATTCCATGCATAGACATTCCCTTCAGCAACCTCACTAAACCGCGCATACAGCCTCACACTCTCCTCATGATTCTCCTTCAAGCTCTGGCCCCGATGTGCTCGCAATCCGTTCTCGTAAAGCGGATAGACGTGAATAGGAGCACCGATGTCGTGGGTTGCGCCGAGATCTGGGACGGAGTGAGTACTCGAGAGTTCGAACCAGAGAGAGGAGATCATACTGTCTCCGAGGGAACGGCCCGTGGGCGTGAAAACTGAGTCGACCGTTTCGGAGGGAGGCGTCCAGTTTGGCGGGGGTAGTTTTTTGGCGGCTGCGCAGGCGGATACTGAAGTTTATCAGTACTCTGCTTGGGGCCACATATCCAAGATCCGTGAAATGGAAGAGCATATGGAGCAAAGGAAATGTTCACGCACGTGATGCTAAAGCCTCACCTCCCGTAACCACCGCCATCGTTGCCTCCCCCCTCGCAATCCTCCTTGCAGCCTCATCAAACAGCTTTGCTGGTTGATTTCCTCCGTGTTCAGAATAATATCTATGTTTCGGTTTCACATTCAACTTCTCAGCCAAGAGGCCTGGAAGATCTGGATACGGCCATGTCCACGTCCTGACAACATCTATGCTATCGACGCTCGACTGTAGCTTTGATGCGTTTGGGCATTGTGCATCCTGTATGGCAGCTAGGATTGCTTCGTACATCAATTGTGCGGGTTCTTTTGCATCTTCGATTTTGTTAGAGCGGTTTTTGATGTCGCCAACGCCGATGACGATTGGAGTCTCCAGAGCCATGACGGAAGGCTTTGAAAAGTGAGGATGGAGATATTTAAAAAGAGATATTAGAAACAATGGTAATTACGGGAAGAAGCGTTATAATTTAAATAGGTCGTAATTGAAGAGCGGTTCCCCATTTCTGAGAGTCATGGTTGGCATGAGGAGGTTGTGTCACTGAATAGCCGAGGTTCTTACTCAAAACAGCAAACCACAAACAAAAGCGTTATACGATCTGAAAGAACAGCGAGAGCTGGGGCGTCCAAGGGTTTACAAACTGCTAAGTAGGAACACGTTATCCTCACAGGATTCTATTCACAGCTACAGCCGGAACTTTTCCTATATACTCCATCCAAACCTAGACCAGATATCGCTCGGCCATGCCATCGTGCTACCCTATTCACCTAATAACCCCTCCAATACTATTAACACCAGACAGAGCCCGTCCTCAGCGGTCTGCCCCCAGCACACCGGCACCGGTATTATATTAGAAATGAACAGAAGTTACGCATCATCAATACACGTCCAATAGCAACCTTATCAATCACCCCCAAACATGCAAAATAAACAAAGGAAATGGTTGTGGAGAATGAAAGGAGAATGCCTAGCCATGCGCCAGGCAGGAGAATTTGAGGTTTTGTCGAAGTTTGTGGTAAGAAATGAAGAACCAAACCGACCTCAAGCAGGCCCAAAAAGAAACCCCCCGCGGACCTCTTGGGTATATGCAATTCGATAGATCCAAATGAAGAAACCGAGGACGCCTTCGCCAGAAGAAAGCAGGATATCGTGAGGACATGTACATTGATGTTGATTTTTGTAACCATAGTACGACAGCCAAGTCTAAGTTGTGCTCTTCTTGCGCCCGAAGATGGTCCTCGTTCGACTCTTGTCGCGAGGCTTTTTCTCCGAAGGATCTTTCTTGACAGAACGGCCAGAGCGGACAGATCGAGAGTCGGAGACAGTGGAGCCGTCGTCCATGTACTTGTCTTTGTAGATCCTAAAATGTGTCGTCAGCAGACGTTAGGCGTCTTATCACTCAACCACACTCACCAACTGTTGCCGATCATGCTGATTCCTTTCGCCTCCGCTGCCCTATAGAATTTGGCAGCCTTTTTCATGTCCTTTTTGCAGCCAACCCCCTCTGCATAACAATAGCCTGTTTCGGCCAAGGCATCCGCATCGCCCCAGTTTCCTGCAATTTCGTAACAACGCAGTGCTAGTGATTTTTCTTGTGCAGCACCCCAACCATTCATGTAGCACTTTCCGAGCTCATAAATAGCAACGGCATACTGAGCTCTATGTCGGTTTCGCTTTGCAAGATCAGTTGGGTTGCCATGTTTCTTCTGGTCCTCGTCATCTGCCACTTCCAATTGTCCGGAATCAACAGCTCGGCGGAGCCACTGCATTCCTTCGGCCTTGTTTTCACGCATTCCCCAGCCATGGCGACATGCAAGACCGTACCAGAACATCCCCTCAGCAAGACCAGCGCGAGCGGCAAGACGGAGGTGATAGGTTGATTTTGTGAATTCGCCAGCCTCGTGAAACTCAATGCCCTTATCACAGTGCTCTTGGGCTGTCACCTCAGCGGATCCTGAAGGTCGAGCGCGGATGGTACTGTTACTTGAGGTAAGGGAAGGCGCTCCACGTTCCATGGAGGTGCTCCGAGTGGGCGTCTGTTCGGGCTGTGTGCGTGGCTGGTCCATGGAGTGAGGAGGGGAAGGAGGAGACGAAGGTCTCGCAGATTTGGCTTGGCCATTGCCTTGCTTAGGCTGATCCCAGCTGATCTGGCTGTTTAGAAAGTCCTCAATACCAATAGATTGACGGTCCAATGTCCGTCCTCGGGGCAAGCTGAACTTGGAATAGGTGTATGTAGGAGCTTGATTTATGGAGTAATCAGTTGACCGACGAAAGTCCTCGCTGGTCATGCTGACCGGAGTGTGAACAAGGTCATTGGTATAGTTGGTAATTGGGCTGTCCCCAGAGTCTTGACGGCGGGGTAGGCTGTCAAAGGAGGGTCTCATGAAAGCGCTCTCATCGGAAGCCTGCCGTGATGGGCCATCCGTGCATGATCTTACATCCAAGGATGGCCTGCTAGCGCTGCTCATCGGTCGAGAGAAGTTGAATGCCGGGCGAGGAAGCTGGGAACCGCCGGCAGAATATTCAGAAGACAACGAAGGAGAACGAGGAATCGAAGAGTTCGATAAAGGTGTGAAAGGGGAATGGGACCTGGATAAGCTGGAGCTGGGTGACAAATTCCGCGCTTGCAGAGAGTCGTAGGATCCTCCCAATGACATATTCTCCACCTCGTCAGAGCTATCCTCGGGCACAGCTCGTATGCTGGGGGATATCTTCGGAGACCGAAGAGACCCAGGTGACCTCGGAGGAGCCAGTCCTGCTTGTCGAACAGAGAGCGAGTCTAAAGACTGCTTCCTCTGCCCAACGAGGAACGGTCGAGGCCCGCTGTTGGAACGAGGCATGTGGGGAGAGATTGGGGTAGCTTCCTGCAACCCTATTCGCGGTTCCACAGGTTCTGGAGACTGGGTCCTTGGGAAGGGGAAGTAGTCTTGCTGCGGCGGGGTGTTGGTGAGTCTCGCCTCCCCGATTGGGGAGAGATGGTTTCGATAGGGAAGGGGGTGCTCATAGTGAGGCTCGTCGCCACCGAATTGCGGGTAGAAAGACTTGTGTCGGTCCTGCGATACATGCTCTTGGGCCTGGGGGCTGTGCTGCTGGCGCGGACTGCGGGGAGCGAGTTCGTCGCTTGGTGAATTGACGGTCGAGTTCGTAAGCGAGGAGAAGTATCCAGAGCGGTTCCCAAATTCATTCTGGATCGTGAGCGGCGCCAACCGGCTCATGCGTCGGCCCGCCTTGTTCTCCTGTTCGAATCGCTTTGCCAGCAGCCGGCCTTGAAGCGCGAGCGCATCGAGGGGCGAGAGGGCAGGTGGGACCTCGCCGGCCTTGGGAGAGGGCAGGTCGCCTAGGGACAGATTGCTCGCGCTGCGGAGAGGGTCAAAGGAATTGGAGCGGAATTCCAGGCCTCCTGGGCGATCTGGCCGGTTAACCATAGTGAATGAAGTGTAAAAACTGAAGATGCGGTCTCAGTGGGGGTATCTCATAAAGTCGGGGCTGTCGGTCGGGAGACGATCTCGTGTCGTCATGCGTGGGCAGTGAAACGCAGAGCTATCGAGGCAAAAGTCGAGGGGTTATGCGCGGGTGGGCGACCGCAGATTTCATAGGGGAGGGTGTCGAGGAACGAGTGCTGGAACAATGGAATCCCGGGGGGGGG